ATGGTGTTCCTCAGCTTTGTTTTCATTTTCGCATTTATTCTGGTTTCTACCATCACTCAATATGGTCGGTCCTCTCAACCTGGCGGTTTGCTCCGATCGGGAAACCGAGAATTTATGTACGGAAACTTTATGGCTGTTTTTCAAAAACATCTCTCGACATCAGTTATCGCATCTTTTCTCATTAAGGACAAATATCTTTGCCCGTTCAAATGCATAGCTAAAAGTGAATGTTTTTCCTATAACCTGGCGGCATATCCAGATAATGGTTGGTACATTTGTGAACTGCTGAACACGGACATGTACAGAGCTAGAACGGAACTTAAGACGAATGTTTCTTTTCACCATTTTAGTCGACTGGTAAGTTTTAGTTCATCTACCATTCGGGAAATTCTCGTGACGTTTTAAAATACTCAATTCTTTAAATGTGAAACCTAAAACTTTAAATGCATGATTTTTAGAAAGAAACACGGGTTAGTCTATGAACTAGTTAAGCCAACATTGGACCACTGGCGAACCTTCATTGGAGAAAACGTATAGTATAGATATCTATTCGAAGTAGTTGCCAGCGATTACAAAACTTTACCATGGAAAATTTTGTAGATCAGGTCTTAATTTACAAACACAAACACACACACGCACACAAAAAAAAAACCAAAAAGTAGAGAAAGATGCAGTTGGACTTCCTCTAAAAAAAAGTAAAGTTCCTTTAAGGAGGCTCCATAGGGTTTTTGCTCAATGTTGGCGCACGCGCGCCCGTATGATGTTTCTGCGGATGATTTTTATGTTTTCGCTTTTTAAGGTCACTAAAAACATCAAAAGGCAATGAGAAAGGTTCGGAACATCGTTTGCTGTAGTAAATATGATCAAAACGACTTTTGTTATTAAGCTAAGGCTGCACGAAGGGAGGCGCTCGTCTACGATAATTTTGCTCTGATTTTCTTCAATTTGCTTCGGTGAAATGTCAAAATTTTCACAATTTGTGATTTCCATTTTGGAAATTTCTCAGTACTTTAAGGATAAGTGTTTGTTGCTATGCTTATTGTGACTAGTTCTGTGATAGGTGGAATTGGCTGGGTAGACTCAGTATGATTGGCTGCTTCAACTGTCTGATTGCAGCCAAGTGTCCAATGACAGTTGTATAGAATTATTTGCGAAAAATAAAGCAGCTATTGTGCCAATCACGTTTGAGGAAATTGTAATGGTTATGATTAGGAGAATTACCATACTCTGGGGAGGTACCAGATTATCAATAAACAATTTTTGCGGATTCTTGTACCAGTTTTTTACGTCGGCCTGTACCGCGTTCGTAGGAGATTTTGCGTTAAATTCAAGGATGTGGCAAATATGATTAAAAGGACGATCATCTGGTGAAAGAAATTCCTTGCCTAAGTATTCCGTTTGAATGGGCAGAGGGTAAAAAGAACTGAGGTGACCGACTGAATTGAATATCTCTATCTAGTAGGTGTTAGTCACTTAAAATCCTCGTTAATTACGCTCTTTCCACTCTATGGTAGATCCCTTCTTCCCAAAACGTTAGGTGCTTCTCTATTAATCTACCGTGTCTCACTGATGAGTGTTCCTGATACAGTAAAAAACACAGCTCAAGGCCTCCGCTTCTCTTTTTTGTGGAAAAACAGGAAAGATAAAATCAAGGGAAACGTTGTGTGCCAGCAACTTAAAAACGGTGGCCTTAATTTTATAAAATTTGGAATTATGGTGAAATATCTGCGCTAAGCATGGATAGGTAGACTGCTAAGCAGTTCCAACGACAACTGGAAGGCCATACCGAATTACTCTTTTGACAAATATGGCGGCTTACCCTTCCTTCTTAAATGTAATTATAATACTGCAAATCTTGACAAAAACGTATCCTTATTTTATCGCGAATTGCTAAATTATTTCCAAGAACTAACTAAACATTAAGAAGAGAACAATGATAATGGCCTCATTCTTTGGAATAATAGGAAAGTTATTAGAGAAAAAAACAGTGTTTTTCAGAAACGATGGTGTAATCGCGGCATTCTTTTTAATAGCGATTTGTTAAATTCTGATGGAAATTTTCTGACGCTTGAAGAATTTCAAAATAAATTCGATATTAAGGTCAATTATTCGCATTATTTTCAATTAATTGCTGCCATTCCCTCAGATCTGAAAAGAAAGGCTCTTGATTCTCCTTTCCCTGATCTACTCTGTGCACCGTCAGAATACTTTCAGTTGGAAGATAGAACAAACTATATAACAAACTATTTAGTTTTAACTAAATTTCGCTGTAAAAATCATTTTAAACTGTTTATTGAAATACTTGATACTGAACCCTCTGCAATAAGGTCTTGCAAGAAATATTTTCCAGAACTTCCTGATTGGAGCAACTGTTTTGTGGATATATATAAGTCTTCGAAAGATAATAAACTTAGACAATTCTCTTTTAAAGTTATGCACAGAATAATTCCTACCAAGAAAGAACTGATGAAATATAAATTGGCCTCTGATGACAAGTGCCCTCTACGTTTTAATCCAGACTCAACTGAACACACTTTAATACATTATCAAGAATTAACTGATTTCTTTATGTAAACTTTAGGATGGTTTAATGATTTTCACAAGACTAAGATAAAATTCTTAAATATACAAATTGTATTCAACACGTTTGAAGACTCCTCTCCATTGGAATCGTCAAAGTGTCTTAAAAGCAGACTACGTCTTCTGGTTTTATTGCAAAAGAAATATTTGTACACCTGCAAGAGCATTACAAAGAAACCAAATTTTGATGAATTCGTGAGCAAGTTATTCGAACAGTGCCGTATTGAAAATGGCTGCAGTTCTTATTAAATATATGTGGCGACTGACAAGCTTTTAATTTGATGCCTGCTTTTTCTTCTTTTTTCTTTTTGTGTGAACTACGTTTAATGGTTATAAAATACATTTTGTTAATTTGTTCTTTTTTATTGTCGGTTTTAAATTTATTTTTACATGTTATTTTGTTTTTTTTTTCTTTCAATAAGGTTTTGTTTTTAAAAAAAAAATATCTTCGTTAATATTTTGCATAATGCACGTATTGTATAAGTCTATGTTCCTTATCTCTAGTAATTGTAGTGTTATATATTTGAGCATCGAAAATAAATTAATATCTTTCCGTGAATTAAAAAAGAAAAGCTGGGTAAGCATCAGAACGTCGTTATAGACTGATCATATGGAAATCATTGCATGTAAACCGAAAAAGTATCATATGTATTTGCATAATGTCTTTTTTCGTCCATTGATGGCTGTTGTTTGTTTAAGAAAGGTTCGAATCATCATAAGATAAGGAGAATTCAACAGATACAAAAAAATTAATGACTTTTCAGTTGAGCTGCAGCTAAAGAAATCACAGAAAAGAAGGCTGACACTTCGGGAAATGAACTCGTGCTTCCCATGAACTAGTTGGGCGCTTTTACCAACTGAGATACGAAGCCCCATATTGACCATTATACCTACGCATGTTAGCTCCTCGCACTGATGTGAACCAAGGCTTGTGTTGGACGTAATCGTCGCGGTTTTGTCGTATAAGCGAGATACTTCCAACTGATATACGAAGCCCCGTGTTGAGACTGGGGCGTTAGTCTTAATTGATAAATCACTATCATCCCTTCGTATTTTAGCTCCACTCCTTGATATGAACCACAGCTTGTGTTGGACGTAATTATAATCGTCGCAGTTTTATCGTTTTAAGTAGCCCTAATAAAAATGAACGATTTTCTTGTTCTTAGTCTCCCTGCTCAAGTGGGCCATGTCAGAACAACGGAACTTGTGTACCACTGTATCAAACAAATGGCTATATTTGTCGCTGTACGAGATCGTACAAAGGAAACCATTGTGAAAACAGTAAGTTGAACTCTCTCTTCTTATCATTAAAATTGTTTTTTAATCTTCACCACGACAAGTGATGTAGCCAGGGTAAAACTTCGCCTCCAAGTAACTCGACTAGTCTTCAGATTGCTAATTGAAGGGTTAAAATAGCAGAACACTCTTTATCTTGTTATTTTTTAAAATTTTTATATCATCAGTCATAATCATAGAAAGTCTACAAATATGATTTTTTCGTTGGCGCTTTTACAATTCCTTTTGTCACCGAAGGCTTCACGAGGCCTTCTTTGGTAGGGATCGTTGCGTGACATCATAAAAAACGGCAGCGAAGGAGATTATCAGAGTTTCCGGATTCATCTACCAGTATATGCTAAGTACACCGCATACTCGACTACGATGTACTCAAATTTAGCAGTTTTCAATTGACTGTTAATAAACCAAAACCAAAGTATTCGCAATTACTATACATAGAAAAGATTAAAATCGTCAAAAACAGACAACAATACTTGTATCACCATCCCAATCAATCAGATGCAAAATTTAAACCAACTCCATTTCGAGCCTTCGCATTTTCCAGCGCTTCAAGCTTCTAGACCAATCACAAGGCAAAGTAAGGCAACATTAACGCCATCGGGGATCTCTTTCAATACTCAATTGAAAACTTCCTGCAAGACAATCGCTGATATGAAGAAAGTCTTGATAAAAATCATAAAGATACGATTAAGGTATTTAAAGATTATAAATGATTTTGAATGTTTTATTGTTTTATTAACCTTTGTCTTCATCCGTTTAATAGCAGTCGATCACAACTGCAGTTGTTTATCAGGGCCAGAGGGGAAACAAATGTGCGATATAGGTAAGTCAATGTACATTCCTATCAATAATATTCTTCGTACGATATGCTTAAGTAATAAGCGAAAAAGTAAACCCTTCCCATTGATTGGTGCTGCTCTAACACAACCATACTAACAAAGTTTTAGCGACAAAACCGTGCTTTTATTCCAATAAATTACAGCTCTAAGTGGGAACAGCTAAAGCTACATCAAGATGCACTATTAACGGAACCTGGTGACAGGTTCCACCACGTGTGCTTTAGTGTTTCTCCATCATTCTATGGTTTTATTGCCTAAGCGAGATAAAGAGATTCGTGCTCTCTTATTGGTTGAGAATAATACCATCTTACTTTATGACCACCCCGTATAAAGTTATCATATTAAGATGATTCCTCAGCATTGCACTGCGCATCCTGAACTCCTCATAATATCGTGCAATAAGGGAAATGAGTAGGGGCGCATTCCGAGAACATGATATTATTTTTTCAATCAATGGGCGAGGAGAACAGGCACGATGGTGTTTTGCTCTTGAACGAGCACGGTGGCCTATGTGTTTTATTTAGGGATTTCGGTATACGAATTATTCCATTGAATAAAAAAATAATAATAATAAACGAATTAGCGGAAAAAAAGATAGAGCAGTAAGTGTGCACGAAGCCCGGTACTCGAGGATGCAAATTATGACCATGAAAGCGAGGACTTGAGGAACGTTTTGAGTCGATGTCGCTAAAAATTGAGTGATTTTTCCTTAAATTGTATATTTCATTGTTACGTACGCTCGAGACTTTCTACCTATCAAGTATTATTTTAACCCTTGCCTCCGACTACCGCAAAATGAACGGTGAACCGATGAAATAACATTAGTATTAGTATCAGTGCAGGCATAAATTGGGTAAGATTTTCCCATCACAACTAGTTGGCAGGCATGGTAACCTGTCTTTTTTATTGTCGTTCTCGAAGCAGAGATTTCTGGAGAACAATCAAGGAAAGCTTCACAAAATATGGTTCGATAACTGTTATTTCTGAGGAATCACCTTGATGCGGAAGCTATTATTTTGACTCAGGTTTTCGCGAGATTCTTTGATAATTCTGTAGAAAGAAGGGAAGGGAGAGCAGTTTCACTGGTTAAGCACCAAGTTATTCCACTAAATTAGCGGTGAATGCTTTGTTAAACATGACAACCATTTTAGACCGTCTAAAGGGTTTTCGCAAAATCGCTCTTGAAAATAACTTTCGCACCAATAATGACCGAATTTTAAGTATTTTCAAGTGCAAAAGGATGCTGTTTCTGCTTCGTAAAAATCGTTCATTTTAGGTGCAAATTGTAGATGCATCTATAATTTTCAAAAAGCCGTGCGTTGATTTAGAAGCAAGCTCTTCTTAAACTCAGAAAAGTGAGTTTTATGAAGCCTAGTGGGCCATTTTTGGCCCTTCTTCCATAATTTCGAGCTCTTCAAAGCGAGGTCGCGTTTAAATTTGCCGCTTTATCGCTTATGAATAATTAATGATGTTCCCGCATTCTGCCCGATGCCCTGTTAACTTTTTCTTCTAGGATACTTACTCGTATTTCCTGCGCCGCGTTCCATTGAAAACTATGCCATGAAATATCCAGCCATACCATCGGACCTCAGCCAGTTATCGCTGTGTTTTTTTGTAAAAGTTGTTACAGACCAAAAGCTGCAATCTATCTTCAGCTATGCCAAACTCGATGACAATGATATTTATGCCGAAAGTTCTCCAACTGAGACAGCTTTCGCCATCAATGAAAAACATGGCAGGTAATTCTTATTTGATTTTTTTGAAAATCGGGTCAATGATGAAACTTAATTCAACCCTTTTCAACAATTTCTCATTACCATGACCATCCTCCAATATGGTCACGAAAAAGGGGATAAGATTCGTACGATTTCATTTAGCCATCACTAAATGCCCCTAGAGAGCGGGGATGGTGCGGTGGTGAAAGCGCTCGCCTCCCGCCCCTGTGGCCTGGGTTCGATTCCCGGACATGTTTTGTTTGGGAATGCATTTCAGACTTGCCCCGGTGTAAGAAAAACAGTCCCGTTAGTTGTCTGTTTTAGCAACCGGAAGACATCTTTAAAAGTAGGTTGGAGTCGTACCATTTATAATTTTAGACATCCCGTAAGAGCATTTTGTCTGCTTCTCCTCTCCTTAAAATTGGACCAGCTGAGTTTACTCAAACATAATTATTTCTTCGTAGGTGGGGAGGGAGGGTGGGTGAACGGGTGTAAGGATGATACTGGAACGAATGAAGCGATGGATGATTCAGAAAGAAACAGACTGGGCAGTAAATGAAGAAAATATAAATCACTCATTTCATGAATATGAATTTCCTTTAGTTTCAATGCTTCGGTCTATGATGGTGCCTGGCATCATTTGTGTTTCACTTGGGAAAATACTTATGGTCAACTCAAACTGTATGAAAACGGTCAATTTGAAGGCCAGCATATGGGTTTTGAAGTGGGATATACAGTCCGATCTGGAGGCCATTTAGTGCTCGGGCAAGATCAAGACACCCTAGGAGGAGGTTTTACACTGGAGGACACACTGAATGCCCAACTGGCTGAGGTCAACATGTGGGACCGGGTTCTGTCCGGAAAAGAAATTGCTGCTCAGTACACAAACTGCAGGATACCAAGTGGTTCCGTTGTCACCTGGTCCGAATTTAAAACGCTAACCCATGGCAGTGTGATTGTCAAACACTGAAGAACCATAACCTCTTGTTCGATGAACGAAACACTCAATCAAAAGTCTGACATGCCTGGAGTAATATTCGTTTTCATAGTGTCATTGAGGTGCTGACTGGATTCTAGGGTATATTTGCATCAAACATTCTCAGGTGTGCGCATTATTAAGTCTAAGTATTCACTTTTGTTTTCGGAAGGTATCGTTATTTAGTTATCTATATCTACTTATTTATTCACACAAGTTAAACTCAGAAACTTAATGCTTGAGGTTTAGGCGCAAATTTTGAATCTCCTTACGGGTTTACTGAGTCAGCAGAAAATCCCTTTGAGATTATTCTTATCATTGTACAGGTCATAAATTTCAATTTTGTTGTATTATATTTTCTCGCTCAAGAAAATGACTAAAATTTACCCAGAACTCCGTTTCCTGTATCTCGCGTTTTGTTTGCACATAACAAATAATTAGGCATGTATGGGTTGATCACTTGCGCAAAATTCGCAATTAATGATTTGCTATTTCTAGGTCTTCCTGAGATTTCTTAAATCACCAGTAATTAAATCACCAAAAATTACGTAAGAGAGAGATAACCTTTTAACGATGAAGACCTCTACGGTTATTGTAGTCCCTTAGGTTGATCCTCTCTCATTTCATGAGATTTCGTCGATTTTAGAGTCATTAGATTTAGGGCTGAACCATTAAACAGGTTATAAAGTTAGTATCTCGAGGTGCCCTATGGACCCTCAACAGGTTGTGGGGTAGATTCGTATGCAATTTTTTTTTGAAGCTAAAAAGTGTTCTGTTATGCGTGATTGTTGTTGTAAATATAAGCTTCCAGAGATCTCCAGACTGCTTAGTTATGCTGACATGCGTACTATGGAACTTTCTGGAACATTTCATCTGGTCACGCAGTTATTACGTAATTCTATTAAAACAGTTCTTTTGTAAGCTTCTGGAATATTGCAGAACACTCTGTAGATGTTTATAAGGACTCAGTTATTTAGTAGTTGTTATTGTCGAGGGTGACCGACTGTTTAGAAAGCTACATTGTGAGAGAGAGAGAGCTACAGTGGAAGATTGCTAATTCAAGAAACGTTGGAGGAAACTGTGAGTTTGGCTCAGTGGTGAGCTAATATATATACTGTAGTGGGCTTAAGTAAGTTTTACTGTCTTTAGGAGTCTCTCCTTATTAAGAATATCACTCGTTGTTTAATAAAGTAGTTGAGTTTGTAGGATTGTGGTGTTTTTCTGTCGGTTAGATTATACCGTAACAGTTTATGATCAAAAGACAAAAAATGAATTTTTTCTCAGTTAGTCATTCGAATGTCTTTTTCGCCTTCTTCGACCCGAAATGGTTCTTATTTTACCTCAGCCCTTTCATAACTTTGACAATGGTCTTTCCCTTACAAATTGTTCCCTATCAACAGTTATAGAAATTATTTTGGAAGACAAAATAAAGGTATAAAGGTTAAATTTGTACCGGAACCTATTGGCCCACCCAGCTGGAGCTTATCCCGGTTTTCATAGAGCATGAAGCGACAAGGAATATTATTACTGCTCCCTGAATGGATGCTAGTCCATCGAAAGGCTACCCGTTGGCATTTCATCAGACTTCCCTCACGATTCCCCGTTACTCATTTATACTCCTGGTTGGAGAGAGGCAGTGTGACTGTAAAGTGTTTTGCCCAAGAAACAGATTAATATCGTTTTAATCTGGGGAATATGGATTACTTGGGCTACAACTTTTAAAGTTTATATAACCAAATTTTGCTCCTTGTGACAAGAGTTTTGAAGTCGTCACAAGGAAACTAATCACTTGAAGCCTCAAGGATGTTCTCAAAGCTTTAGAAAAGTATCTCTAACTAGAATGTTTAGTATTTTAGAGAGCAAAACTCTGCGGATATAAAACAGAAGAAGTTACACAACGTGTAAGTGAGGTTGGTAGCCTCAAAGCTTATTATCGACCCACATGTAGAGCGGCTTACGACTATGCATGCGTCAATAGACTCTTGATGCTGTAAATTTTGTAAAGTTGTGAAATGAACGTGAAATTTAGAATTCTACTCAAATGGTAAACCGTCTGCATATCTTAACCTGAAAGAGGTTTGGAAGGAAATGAGATATATTGATAAAAGTGGTGATGGCGATGGCGGACCAAGGTCTAGACGAGAGTGTACACCAGTGTGAAGGGCTTGGGTAAGGGTTTGTAAGCGATGTCAGAGATTCTCTTGTCTGGACAGGTACTTTATACTGAGCAAAACTGCAATTTCCAGCCCACGGTTTCGACAGTCCATTCCACTAAATTCATTCCACTAGCAATCATGAGCAAACGGAAAAATCAAATGCCTAGAACATAATTTACAACACTTACGATGTCTTAAAGTATTTGCAATACCTTCGAATTCGTAATAAAATTATCTCTAAACTGTTGGTATTAATAACAAAAACGTACTGCACTCGTATAACTTGCAATGCAACAAAAATTTTAAATCTTTTACTGCGAACTAAAGTTTATTGGCTACTTTTCCCCGTAAACTAATTATGTTATCTAAAATTGTTCAAACTGTTAAGACAGATAAGAATCTTACTTATCACATAAACTGCGGTGTTATACAGGGATTTCTGGCCCTAGGAAAAGCCGTAACAACACACGTGAAAAAATATCGTATTTTTTCACGTGTGTTGGTCAGATTGATGAATGAACAGCAAAGCCTTCACGATTCTCAATATAAGGTAGTTTATCGGAACTTTCTTGGATTGTGTCGGCTAAAACACTAAAATATCCGTATTGCTGACAGACAGTGAGGTTTAAACTTTCCTAGAAGGGGAAAAAAACCAATATACAAAAAGAAAAACCGAACGTTACGTATTCAGTGGCGTTGGTGTTGGCATTTCTCGCGGCTGAGAATAAAAATCGACAACTGGAAGATTTGCCACTGGCCGATTTTGGCCGTTTACCAGAAAGACTTCTTCTGTCGGAAAGGACAAAGTCAACAAATGAGCATTTTGTAAATTGAAAATTACGACCATTGTTGTTTTTTGTAATCATGACTCAACACATTTTTCCATCTTAAGAGTTAGCGCTAACGCACTCTACGATTGTTTTTTGGGGATTGGTGATTCATTTATATTCGTTCATTAACGAAGTCGGCTTTTCTTGTCGGGAAAGGGCTATTGTGTTTAAATGATAAACAAAATAATACATGGTTTACATGTATATTTGGGATTTCTCTTCTCGTGTTCAACTCGAAGAGAAATTCCATATCTACGCGCGCCCATGTATTATTCTCTTACTAGTTATTCCAACTCTCTAATTAAGTGCTACAAAGTTATCATTCTTACAAATAGGGTTAAATAAGTGGGAGTTTATTGCACCGCGAAACGGTATTCAAAGGTAGAATCTTACCTTAATAATCATCTTTTAATAAAATTCGGAGAAGGATATACAAGTCAAAACAAATAATAAGAATTAACAGTCGCATTTCAGAGACAGGATTCTGCTGCCTTTGTTTTATTAGAGAATGGATGAAATTTCTTTGATAATTTGAGTCTTTTTGTTACTCCGACTGAGCCGAATAAATTGGGTTTATAATGATTTTCGCCGGAGTTTGGCTCCACACCAAATGGAACTGACGTCTGGGTTATAGTCTTGCCAAAACCTTTGATTTTGTCATAAAACCAGAAATTATGCGGTACATCCTCTGGTTTGCTTTGATAAAAGATGCAGCTCATTTTTCATTCATTCAAAATTTATAAAGTTTTGTGGTTGTCGCAGAAACCGGCAAATACTGATTATCATTAACAGTCTATTTAAAGTAATCTAAAAAAATACCGTCTGATTAATTGATAAAGCCAGCTGCTTTAAGGCTGCAAGGGAAATTTTAGTAGATTTCTAGGCTTTTCAAACCAACCATTCATCTTCCCGGCTATGGCGTTCCTCAGTTTTGTTTTCATTTTCGCATTTATTCTGGTTTCTACCATCACTCAATATGGTCGGTCCTCTCAACCTGGCGGTTTGCTCCGATCGGGAAACCGAGAATTGATGTATGGAAACTTTATGGCTGTTCTTCAAAAACATCTTTCGACATCAGTAATCGCATCTTTTCTCATTAACGACAAATATCATTGCCCGTTCAAATGCATAGCTACAAGTGAATGCTTTTCGTATAACCTGGCAGCATATCCAGATAATGGTTGGTACATTTGTGAACTGCTGGACACGGACATGTACAGAGCCGGAACGGAACTGAAGGCGAATGTTTCTTTTCACCATTTTAGTCCAGTGGTAAGTTGTAGTTCATCTGCCATTCAGCGACTTGCAAATGTTTGTAGTGACTGGAAATTCTCGTGACATCTTAAATTGCTGCACTCTTAAATGTGAAACCAGCAAAACCTTACATGCAGCATTTGAGAAAGAAACACGGGTTAGTCTATGAACTAGTTAAGCCAACATTGGACTACGGGCGAAAATTTGGAGCTTCAGAGGAGATAGCGTAGTGTAGATATCTATTCAAAGTAGTTGCATGACAGGACGGAAAACGCGTGCACTGTAAGTACCTCCCGTCGTCCTATACAAAGCCTTAGAAAACTTTTCTAAGGCTTCATCAACAATTTTGATTTCAAAACTTCATCAACAATTTTATAGATCAGGTCTTAATTTACATACACACACACAAAAAGAAGAAAAAGGGAAGAAAGATGCAGTTGTACTTCCCCTGAAAAAAAGTGAAGTTTGTTTAAAGAGGCCCCATAGAGTTTTTGCTCAGTGTAGGCGCGCGCGCCAGCGTTATGTTTTTCTACAAAATTTTTGTTTCACTTTTCAAGGTCATTAAGAGCCATCAAAAGGCAACGAGCAAGGTTAGGACTATCGTTTTCTGTGGCAAATATTATCAAAATGATTTTCGTTATTAAGCTAAGGCTCCACGAAGGGAGGCGCTCGCCAGCAATAATTTTGCTTTGCCTTTGATTTTTTCTTCAATTACCTTCGGTGAAATCTATCAAAATTTTTGACAATTTGTGAAAATTGTTCTGCCGATCATTTAAAAGCCGAAAAAAATATAGGGGTTACAAACGCAGTGCAATTTTGTGTTTTCTTCCTCTATCTCAAATTTTGTCTTATGAATTTTTTTCTATGAACAGGCACTAGGAAGCGCACAAATATGTTTAACAGTCCGGCAAATCCTACTGAGGAAATTCCACCGAAGAATACGCGATAAATCTTACTCGAACGTAATGAAATAGAATTTTGCCAAGATCGGTATCTGAGCATGCGTAGACTTTCAAATCGGTTGCTTTTTTTGGCAATCTTTCCCACGGTGTTTTCTTTTTGGTTGAACTCTTTTTCAGGCGTAGAAGGTCTATAAATAATATATAGATTTAGCCAACCCTAAAAGCGGAGCTCGCATTTTTTTTCCCGCACGTCTCAAGGGCACAACGCCTTGCCCTGGCCAAGACTAGAACCCGACTCGGAGCCCAGTGCACTGACCACTGGACTATTGAACAAAGCCGTGGCGTTGGCGTGCCCGCGGTACAGTTAACCATGCATGTTAATAGTAGCACCTTGTACGGTCGTACGGTCGTACGGTCGTACATCCAAATTTTTTCGGCTTGATGGGTTACTACTATTTTGTATAATTATGGGGCTACGCTCTGCGAGCTCCGCTATTACGCGTGCAGTTGCTGGAAACCTTAGATTTCATTACATAAAAACGATATTGTGTTAAACTGTTTTTAACACACCTCCTCAGATAACAATCGAGCATGCGTAGACTTTCGAATCTGTCGCCTTTTAGCAATCTTTCCCACGGTGTTTTCTTTTTGGTTGACCTCTTTTTCAGGCGTAGAAGGCCTATGAATATTACGGTTGTATTTGCTGGAAACCCTAGATTCCAATATATAAATACTGTATTGTGTTAAATTGTTCTTAACACACCTTCTGCCATGTTCGCAGCCAGATCTCGCGCGGTCAAAAGGTTAAAAAGAACTGAGGTGACCGACTGAATTGGATATCTCTATCTAATAGGTGTTGGTCACTTAAAATCTTCATTAACTTTTTGCACAATGCACGTATTGTATAAGTTTAAGTTCCTTATCTCTGGTAATCGTGGTGTGATATGTCTGAGCATCGAATATAAATTAATGTATTTCTGTACATGAAAAAAGTAAAGTTGAGTAAGCATCAGCACTTCGTTATAAGCTGATCATGTGGAAATCATCATAAACCGAAAGAATATCATATGTATTTTCATAATGTCTTTTTCGACCACTGATCGCTGTTATTTGTTAATTAAGAAAGGTTCGAATCATCATGAGATGAGGAGAATTTAACAGATACAAGAAAATTAATGACATTTCAGTTGAGCTGCAGCTAAAGAAATTACAGAAAAGAAGGCTGACGCTTCGGGAAATGAACTCGTGCTTCCCATGAACTAGTTGGGTGCTTCTACCAACTGAGATACGAAGCCTCATATTGAGAGGCGAGGTGTTAGTCTTCCGTGAGAAATCATCATCATCCCTTTGCATGTTAGCTCCACGCAGGCTTGTGTTGGACGTAATCGTCGCCGTTTTGTCGTGATACTACCAACTGAGATACGAAGCCTAGTGTTGAGAAAGGGGCGTTAGTCTTAAATGGTAAATCACTAGTATCCCTTCGTATTTCAGCTCCACTGACTGATATGAACCACGGCTTGTGTTGGACGTAATCGTCGCGGTTTAGTCGCATAAACGAGATACTTCCGACTGAGATACGAAGCCTCGTGTTGAGACAGGGGCGTTTGTCTTAAATGATAGATCACCATCATCCCTTCGTATTTTAGCTCCACCCCCTAATATGAACCACAGCTTGTGTTGGACGTAATCGTCGCAGTTTTATCGTTTTAAGTGGCTCTAATGAGAATGAACGATTTTCTTGTTCTTAGTCTCCCTGCTCAAGTGGGCCATGTCAGAACAACGGAACTTGTGTACCACTGTATCAAACAAATGGCTATATTTGTCGCTGTACGAGATCGTACAAAGGAAACCATTGTGAAAAGAGTAAGCGTAACTTTCTCTTCTTATCATTTAAATTGTTGTTTCATCTCCACCACGACAAGTGATGCAGCCGGAGTAAATCTTCAGCTCCAAGTAACTCGATTAGTCTTCGGATTGCCGATTGAAGAGTTAAAATAGCTGAACCTTCTTTATCCTGTTATTTTTTCAAATTTTTATATCATCAGTCATAATCACAGAAAGTCTACAAATATGATTTTTTCGTTGGCGTTTTAACAATTCCTTTTGTCACCGAAGGCTTTACGAGGCCTTCTTTGGTAGGGATCGTTGCGTGGCTTAAAAAAAAAAAACGGCAGCGAAGGAGATTATCAGAGTTTCCGGATTCAAGCTTCTAGACCAGTCACAGGGCAAAGTAAGGCAACATTAACGCCATCGGGGATCACTTTCAATACTCAATTGAATACTTCATACAAGACAATCGCTCATATGAAGAAAGACTCGATAAAAATCATAAAGATACGATTAAGTTATTTGAAGATTATAAATGATTTTGAATGTTTTATTGTTTTATTAACCGTTGTCTTCATCCGTTTAATAGCAGTCGATCACAACTGCAGTTGTTTATCAGGGCCAGAGGGGAAACAAATGTGCGACATAGGTAAGTCAATGTACATTCCTATCACAAATATTCTTCGTACGATATGCTCAACTAATAAGCGAAAAAGTAAACCCTTCCCATTGATTAGTGCTGCTCTAACACAACCATACTTGCAAAGTTCTAGCGACAACACCGTGCTTTTATTCCAAGAAATTACAGCTCTAAGTGAGAACAGCTAAAGCCACATTGAGATACACTATTAACGGAACTTAGTGACAGGTTCCACCACGTGTGTTGTAGTGTGTTTCTCTTCATGACCACCCCGCATAAAGTTATCATATTAAAGTGATTCCTCAGTATTGCACTGCGCATCCTGAACTCCTCATAATATCGTGCAATACGGGAAATGAGTGGGCGCGCATTCCGAGAACATAGTATTATTTTTTCCATCGATGGGCGAAGAGAACAGGCACGATGGTGTTTTGCTCTTGAACGAGCACGGTGGCCTATGTGTTTTATTAATGGATTTCGGTATACAAATTATTCCATTGAATCAAAAAAAATAATGATCAAAGAATTAGCGGAAAAAAAGATAGAGCAATAAGCGTGCACGAAGCCCGGTACTCGAGGATGCAAATTATGACCTTGAAAGCGAGGACTTGAGGAACGTTTTGAGTCGATGTCACTAAAAATTGAGTGATTTTTCCTTAAATTGTATATTTCATCGTTACTTACGCTATAGACTTTTTACCTATCAGGTGTTTTTTCAACCTTTGCCTCCGACTACCGCAAAATGTACGGTGAACCGATGAAATAACGTTAGTATTAGTATCAGTGCAGGCATAAATTGGGTAAGATTTGCCAATCACAACTAGTTGGCAGGCTCGGTAACCTGTCTTTTTTATTGTTGTTCTCGAAATATAGATTTCTGGAGAACATTCAAGAAAAGCTTCACAAACTATGGTTCGATAACTGTTATTTCTGAGGAATCACCTTAATGCGGAAGCTATTATTTTTACTCAGGATTTCGTGAGATTCTTTGATAATTCTGTAAAAAGAAGGGAAGGGAGAGCAGTTTCACTGGTTAAGCACCCAAGTTATTCCACTAAATTAGCGGTGAATGCTTTGTTAAACATGAAAGCCATTTTAGACCGTCTAAAGGGTTTTCGCAAAATCTCTCTTGAAAATAACTTTCGCACCAATAACGACCGAATTTTAAGTATTTTCAAGTGCAAAAGGATAATGTTTCTACTTCGTAAAAAATCATTCATTTTAGGCGCAAATTGTAGATGCATCTATAATTTTAAAAAAGCCGTACGTTGATTTAGAAGCAAGCTCTTCTTAAACTCAGAAAAGTGAGTTTTATGAAGCCTAGTGGGCCATTTTGGCCCTTCCTTTTGTAATTTAGAGCTCTTCAAAGCGAGGTCGCGTTCACATTTGCCGCTTTATCGCTTATGAATAATTAATGATGTCCACGCATTCTGCCCGATGCACTTTCAACTCTTTCTTATAGGATACTTACTCGTATTTCCTGCGCCGCGTTCCATTGAAAACTATGCCATGAAATATCCAGCCATACCATCGGACCTCAGCCAGTTATCACTGTGTTTTTTTGTAAAAGTTGTTGCAGATCAAGAACTGCAATCTATCTTCAGCTATGCCAAACTCGATGACAATGATATTTATGCCGAGGGTTCTCCAACTGAGACAGCTTTCGGCATCAATGACGAACATGCCAGGTAATTCTTATTTGATTTTTTGAAAATCGGGTCAATAATGAAAGTTAATTCAACCTTTTTCAGCGATTTGTTATTACCATGACCATCCTCCAATGTGGTCACCATGTGGCACCTTTTGTTCTTTCCTGACGCTGTGAATTACAGAATTACGATTAAGCTTCCAAAGCATTGACAAGTTTTACGAGCATATACAAATGAGTCTATTAATTGTCCATAGATAAAATTTAAGATGCTATTTTAAAAATGAAGAAATCTACTATCTAATTTTCTTTTAAAGCTATCTTGGATTTCTCATTTTTCACTTTGTTTAGGAATTAAGACCGGTGTAAGCAAAACTGTTCCGGTAGTTATCTGTTTTAACAACCGGTGAGGTTAGATTACATACCGATCTCCCGATATTACTCGGGAAGACATCGTTAAAAGTAGTTAGGGTCGTACTATTTATAATTTTAAACATCCCGTGAGAGCTTTTAGTTTGTTTCTCCTCTCCTTAAAATTGGACCAAAAGAGTTTATTCAAACATTATTATTTCTTTGTAGGTGGGGAGGGAGGGTGGGTGAACGCGTGGGTGGGTGGGTGGGTGAAAGGGTGTACGGCTGATACTGGAACGAATGAAGCGATGGGTGATTAGGAAAGAAACAAACTGAGCAGTGAATGAAGAAAATATGAATTACTCATTTCATGAATATGAATTTTCTTTAGTTTCAATGCTTTGGTCTATGATGGTGCCTGGCATCATTTGTGTTTCACTTGGGAAAACACTTATGGTGAACTCAAACTGTACAAAAACGGTAAATTTGAAGGCCAGCATAGGGGTCTTGAAGTGGGATATACAGTCCGATCTGGAGGCCATTTAGTGCTCGGGCAAGATCAAGACACCTTTGGAGGAGGTTTTCAACTGGAGAACACACTGAATGCCCAACTGGCTGAGGTCAACATGTGGGACCGGGTTCTGTCCGAAAGCGAAATTGCTGCTCAGTACACAAACTGCAGGATACCAAGTGGTCCCGTCGTCGCCTGGTCCGAATTAAAAACGCTAACCCATGGCAGTGTGATTGTCAAACATTGAAGAACCATAACCTTTTGTTCGATGAACGAGACACTCAGAAGTTTGACATGCCTAGAGTGGTATTCATTTTCATAGTGTCATTGAGGTGCAACTGGATTCTTGGTTAGATTTGCATCAAACATTCTCATGTTAGCGGATTACTAAGTCTGAGTATTCACTTTTGTTTTCGGAAGGTATCATTATTTAGTTATCTATATTTTATGTCTTATTCACACAACTAAAATTCAGAAACTTAATGCTTGAGGTTCAAGCGTAAATTTTAAATCTCCTTACGGGTTTACTGAGTTAACAGAAAATCCCTTTGAAGTTATTATTTTCATTGCACAGGTCATAAATTTCAATTTTGTTGTATAATAGTTTCTTACTCAAGAACATTTACCTAGAATTCTGTTTCCTGTACTTCGCGTTTTGTTTGCACACGACAAATAATTAGGCACGCATGGGTTGATCAGTTGAGAAAAATTCGCAATTCATGAGTTCCTATTTTCAGGTCTTCTTGAGATTTTTTAACCACCAATAATCTAAAAATTACTCAAGAGAGAGAGACAAATTTTTAAGAATGAAGACCTCTACGGTTTTTATAGTCTCTTAGTTTGATCCTCTCTCATTTCACGAGATTTCGTCAATTTTAGAGCCATTAGATTTAGGGCTATGGGGTTGGTATCTTGAGGTGCCCTATGGACCCTCAAGAGTTTGTAAAGAAGATTCTTTTTTTTTAAAGCTGGAAAGTGTTTACGATTTAAAGGACAACAAATGAACTTTTTCTCTATTAGTCATTCGAATGTCTTTTTCGCCTTCTTCGACCCGATATGGTTTTTTTATTTTGCCCCACTTACCCCATCCATAGATTTGAGAATGGTCTTTCCTTTATAAATTGTTCCCTATGGACAGTTATAGAAATTAAATTGGAATTTCAGGTAAAGGTGTAAACGTTAAGTATGTACTGGAGCCTATTGGCCCACCCAGCCAAGGCTTATCCTGGTTTTCATGTAGCATGAAGCGACAAGGAGTATTATTACTGCTCCCTGGATAGGATGGTAGTCCATCGAAAGGCTACCCGTCGGTATTTCATCAGACTTCCCTAAAAATTCTCTGTTACCCATCCATACTCCTGGTTGGAGAGAGGTAGTGTGAGAGTGAAGTGTTTTGCCCAAGAAACAGATTAATATCGTTTTGATCTGGGGAAAAAGGATTACTTGGCGTGGGCTAAAACTTTTAAAGTTTATATAACCAAATCTTGTTCCTTGTGACAAGATTTTTGTAGTCCTAACAAGGAAACTAACTGCTTGAAGCCTCAAGGATGTTCTCAAAGCTTTAGAAAAGTATCCCTAACTTGAATGTTCATTATTTTAGAGAGAAAAACTCTGCAGATATAAAACAGATTGAGCTACGCAACGTTTAAGTCTGAAGGCTGGTTGTCTCAAAGCTTATTATCGTGCCACATATAAAGCGGCTTACTACTACGTATACGTTGATAGACTCTTGATATTGTAAATAATGTAAGGTTGTGAAATAAACGTGAAATTCAGAATTCCACTCAAATGGTGAACCGTCTGCATATCTTAACCTGAAGAGGTTTAAGGGGTTTGGAAGGAAATGAAATATGTTGATAAAAGAGGTGACGGCAAGAGCGGACCAAGGTATAGACGAGAGTGTACACTGGGGTGAAGAATGAGGGGTACCCTTGGGTAAGGGTCTGGTAATACCGGCAGGGGTGAAAAGAAGGGATTAAAAGAATTTCAGAAAAAGAATGATGTCAGAGATTCTCTTGTCTGAACAAGTATTTTATACTGAACAAAACTGAAAATTTTAGACTACGGTTTCGAGGTAGGGAGAGGAAATTAAACTAATGTTTCAGAAAACATACAGATTTTTACCTTTGCAATGAGAAATAATAAAATTTATTTCTTACCCCTCTTTTAGATTCCAAAGCGCAACCTAACCGTTCTAAAGTTGTCTTGAAATACTACGAAAATATTCGATTAAGAACGCCGTCATTTTTTGCAAACATCTGAAATACAGCCGCGTCACGAGTGGTTACGGCTATTTCTCAAAAACAATAAGTTATGTCAACTAGGTCTTTTTGTATGACACTTCCTTGTTTAATAAGATCGTCTAGAGATGTGATCATTTACGTCACGGGAAAGCGGCCAGGATGCTGAGCAAGATTCAAAATGGTGACTTCTTTGTAGGAAAACTTTTAGCTCCAGCGATTTTCGATAGATTGAGTAAACTTCGGATTCTCATAACGCGGTCTCATGACGCGGTCAGCGAAATAACTAAAATATTCTTCTACACACCACCAGTCCTCTAGATGCATGTCTACTATTTTGTAGAAAATACCGCTGATCGTTACAGCAACAGCCTTCTTCTGCGACAGGTCCTCATTATTAGCGCTTCGGCACAAGAGTTTTGTTGCTCGCGGTAAAGTATGAGGCCCTGCTCTACGCGAGCGTGTGTGAGGTCAACGACTAGTAGAATTTTGCACATACAACAACATTATTTGCTCTTGACTTCTAAACGTTATAATTGATTCGAGCTACGGCATCACGGCTTCATCACATTTCAGTAACACTCGATAGAAATCTCGAGCTCATAGTCTAATTTTTCAATATATATATTTTTTCCAATTCATTAATTTTTCCTTTTTTAAACGTTAACCATCAACAAGACACCTTCTTCCCTACCCTAATCCCGCGATGAAGTTCCCGCCCTTCCGGGACTTCAAGAAAACAAGGCGGTTAGTTGTCAGCGGTCTTTTTGTAAAGCATGCGCAGTGACCATGACAACTTTCAATAATTTACCGTCAGATGGCACATAAGTTTCAAATCCTGGGGATTATATAGATACATGTTTTGAAATGATGGGATGGAAAATATCAGCGACGAGGAAGCGAGAGCACTGGCCGCAAACTTGATAACGAAAATGCAAAAGTCCATTCTGACACCAGATGATGATGTCAGAAACTCCTCTGTCGTCACAACTTCTTTCGGATCAAACGTTAAGCCAATTCATGCAAATCACGAAGTTTGTGAACAAAATTGTCAAGTCGAAGAGTTTAATTCTCGTCATCGAGGAACTTGCCATCAAGATCCAAACATTTCTTTGAGTTTTCAGAAGTTTGCAGTTAATGGAGGTAGTGGAGATGCTCTCGTGCAGAATGTCACGTCTTTCGAACGTTCGTCAAAACAATATAAATCGAAAGTTTGCCAGTCGAATGAATCACCTAGAGATGGAGGACCAGAGAAAGTCTTAAACGGAGAAACAAGTTCTAATAGTTCTCCAAGAGTGAACGTTTCGTTTATTCGCCAAAAGCGTTTAGCTTTCTTCGACAACAGTCTTGGATCGAAGGGGAGGGAAGAAGATTTATTGCACGACAGTAACCGTAATGTTTTGACCAATATTAATGGCAACAACTCGCCCGAGTTAGAAGCTCGTACGTGTAGTTCCTCAAGTACAAAGCAGTTTGATTTGACTTCAAAGTACAACAGTTACGAGAAACAGGATTCATTTGATGGGATGTATCAGTCGAGATCGTCAGAAACGCCTTTCTCGTTACCTCCTGACAAGGGTACCAGCATGCCTTACCCATATAAGTCACCTCCAGTGACAGGAGTGGATCGTGATGAAGAAGACATTAGACTGGAGTTATGGGGCTTAAAAGAGGCTGTGCATTCTGGAGAGCTTGATATAAACGCATATCTCAGGAAGCCAGCGTGGAAAGATGACTGCCTTTCAAGCTCATTTGCAGGAAAATATAATAAGGAGAAAAATTATAATTATTTGCACTCTGGTGGTAAAGTATCAAGCTGTGAGAGAAGTAAACCCATCAAAATTTCCAAAAGTCCCCGCAAAAATCAATATCTACGTTATACTGAGGATGATCATGGTGGCAAATTTGGGAATGAATTAAATGCTGTTGACAGTGGATATTATTCAGAAGAACACAGAGTGTATTACAATCCTGGACAAATTTCTCATGGAGAACATGTCTCAAATGGATTTAGTTGTACTGAGCCACAAATAAATGGCCCACTCTATTTTGGTTTTGAAACTTCTGATTCTGAGAGTAGTTTGTTAAGTTTTGGCTCCAAGTGTGATGATGTTCATTACCGTAAAGTTGTCAAAAGGCAAGATCCTCTTGTTAGAGAACAAAGTTTACATGGAAGGCAGCCACAAAATGGTCACAAGAAACAAGAGAGAAAAGCCAAGCCTAGGAGAGGCAAAGACAAAATTCTTGTGGAACTGACTGAGTTTATCAAAGAATCAGGAACTCCAAAATATAGAAAGGATTCAAGAGAGGGTGGAAGATCATCTGATGTTACAAATGGAGAAAATGGATTAGACATAGGTTCACCAACTGCTTTGAAGAATGGTTTAGTGGAGGAAGCCACTGTGACAAATTCAAATCATGTCCCGACAATGGAAAGCAAAGTTTGTGATGAAAGTGTGGCTGGTTTAAATGATCATCTCAAACAAAGTGACAGGATTAAAGAGCCTGGGGAAAATCCAGGAAATGTCATGGGAAAGATTTGTCCAAAGTGTGATGAAGTCAACAGCAGGGCTGCTAATTGGTGTATTGAGTGTGGTACAGCACTAATTTGTATACAAGCATCTTATTTAACCACCCAACAGCAAAAGCACTTTGAAAAGCAATGTCTGGAGACCCAAGCCTTAATTAAGGAAACTTTGAAGACACCAACAAACTTGTCTCACATTTTGCCAAATGATAAGGCTTTGAAAGATGAAAGCTCTTTGAATAATGACATATCCAGTCTTTCTCTGCAAGTCTCTCAAAGCACCAATGATTTACAAGAGAGCAAGTACTCCTCTAGTCCACATGGCTACAAACGTCGCTGGATACGCTCCAGTATTGCTTGGAGCAGTTACCATTCAAAAGAACTTTCAAAAAGTCCCTCCTTTGTCAAAGAACAAGGCAACATGAAAGAGAGGAATAGAACAACTTCCTTTTCAGATCTTGTGTCATGTTCTGCAAATGAGAAAGTTGGCAAACATAAGAGACACGGTCGAAACAGATCTACAAGGCAAAGAACAGTGAGTTGTAGCTCATTTGGAGCTGAAGATGAAAGAAGAAGACCTGATCAAAGGTCACACACTAATTTGGTGAAAGACTTTCAGAGAGAAAAAAATCCTAGGACTTGTGTTGTGGAGAGGTGGAGTCCTTCTGTTGGGAAACAGAATGGAAGAACAAATAAAGCACAACACAACATTGATGGGAAAATTCCTCTGGAAACCCAGTCATGTCCAAGCCTGCTGAAGGTGTGTAGTGTGTGTATGATATGTTTAAACTATTTGTTGATTTTAAATTTTTCTAAATCAAAGTAATCTTTATTTTTCATTGTTCAGGTGGCAATATTGAATATCTAGAGAGAAAATTATTGTTATTTGGTGGAAAAATTGTGGTAAAAGAAGAAGTCAGAATACATAATGTTCTTTGATATTGATCTAAAGATCCTTTTGCTGTATTAGTGGTTCAACTTCTAAATGAATAAACGAATTAAATGATTCTGTTTTTAGAGTGCAAGTGTTTCATCTCTGAACAATGAGTCAAAGCCTGCCATGTCGCAAGCGGCCCAAGCTATTGTGCCACCTCTGAATCTACAAGGTAAGGATCTTTTTTTCTTTCACTCCTAGCCATGACCAAGACATAATTATTTACTCCTTACAAAATCCATACAAAATCAAGCAGGCAAGTGATGAGAATGTAGAAAAATGTCAATTAGGTGATACAATATATGATTTGATCTAATACCAAATTCTCCAAACTAAAAGTACAAGCAATGTACTGTACATGTGTATGGTAGGCAGTATGGAGAATTACTAAAGAGATCTTGGGAGTGAAAGGGTTACTGACATGGTCTTTGTAGTGTTCTTGGGCAAGACTCTTTATTTAGTGGTGCCTCTCTCAACCCAGAAGGAGTACAAATGATGTCTAGGAACTCTCAAACAAACATATTGATTTCAGGGTGGCTGGGAGGGGAGTGGGGGTAGAGGTAGAAGTAGGTGGGAGTAGGTGGGGGTGGGGGTAGGGGTAGGTGGGAGTAGGTGGGGGTAGGGGTAGGTGGGATTAGGTGGGGGTAGGGTTAGGTGGGAGTAGGTGGGGGATGGGTAACCCCACAATGAACAAGGAAGGGTGGACATAAGCAACAAAGCCTCTAGGAGTTAAAATGTAACATTTAAAAAAATGCATTTTTCTGCATGCAAGATACTTCTCCTTTTATTTAGTCTCCTCACTATTTGGAGGGGTATACAAATAGTTCAGCAGAGGAACCTCTTTTGGTATAATACATGTAAGGATGTGTTTTTAGGCTCATGGAAATGACAGCTATCTGTACATACCTGTACATGCATTACATGTAGTTAAGACTGGTTATTTTTGGGCATTGTAGATGTACAGGTGTGCAATGTAGAACTAATGAGCAAGTACAGTATAAACATATGTACAACATACTTTACATAAATGAAAACAACAACAGTGTGTTCCTTTCCTTTTTCAGATGTTGAAAGTTATGACAGGATTTTGACTCTGGTAAGTAGTTTAAGTTGTCATTTTGTCTGCATGTGTCTTTTTTTTAATTTCGATTCCAGATGTGCTGCCCTTGAAAATTAATGCATCTTACAGGTTGTAGTGTACATGGATGTTTGGATCAAGATTGGCAATACATACACATACACATTCACAATGGAATCCCAATTTTTTAAACCATTTTTTTGAAGTTGCTCAAGATTGGGGATGAAATTGCACAATGTAGTGTATGACTGGAAAGTGTGCTTGTTTTGGTTTGATTTGTTGGAAGTCTAGAGATGCTGATTGTCCTGGAAATAGATTGGGTAGTATTTGTAACATGCATGTGGGGCTTGTTTGATTCTGTTTTACCATGCAGCAATTGTTTCATTTTTCAGATTCGTTCTCAGCGAGACAGTGATCCAGTTCCTTACCTTTACCTTCCTGATGAGCTGGTGTTGTTGATTTTCTCTTTTTTACCACACAAAGACTTGGTATCTTGTTCACGAGTGTGCTGGCAGTTTTATCGAATCTCCATGGATGAATCTTTGTGTAAGAGCTGTTTATCTTTCTTCATGTTTTTGCCTCTATACTGCCACCGAAAGAATTAAAATGCTTTTTCTATGCACACACTTGTGAAATGCATAGTTAATATACACAACAGTATTCAACTAGATTGAAATGTGTGATTAAATTTAGTATGTCTTGGGTTTTAGGGAAAGTTATTGTGGTGAAAAAGAACAACAACATAACTGATGAATGGTTACACATTATTGGCCAGCGTCGACCCGTCAGTTTGACTATTTCTCAATGTCGTAGTGACAAAGTTACAGCTAAAGGCCTGAGAGATTTGTTCCGCAACTGCTGTGATTCATTAGAGGTATGTTGCTGACATTTCTTTGTTAGTACTAAGGTGTAAATGTGAATTTGTCTGTTAATCATATTTCATTATTTTTGTGTTAGGGTGTTTCCTTTTGATATTGTGATTTTGTGTATACTAAAAAGTGGTCAGAATTGAAGGTGCGTTCTAAATAGCCACTTGTACTCCAGACATCCTTTGGTCCTCACCTATGAGCAACTTATGCCCAAAAATAATGTAATTTGTTGCAGGAATGAATGAGTTAAAATTATCTTTCTGTGCTATCTCATCTTACTGTTTTAGTATATACCAAAACAACTGCATGTGTATTTACCCCATTGTCAGTGGCCTGTGATGGATATTTACCTCAGCACTTTGTGGCTTGGTAAATAACCACCACTAGTTATTCAGTGTAATTCTGGTAGCTCTTTACATGCCAATCTATAAACAGCTGTGCTGATGTACATGTTGCATTTTTCCAATTGAATAATGAATATCATAGTAATCCAGAATGTATGAAAGAACTGTCACTTTGGTTTTGGATTCCATATAACAGTTCAAACTGTGAATGTACAGTAATAATAATTATGATGTAATTTATAATTTGTGGAGAGGGATTTAATGATCCAGTGCACAGTAACAACAAATTTTCTTCATCTACCTTCAGGAGCTGAATTTCAGTCGGTGTGGTGGCAGTGAGTTGATTGGTGAGTCTATACTGCTGCATGTTGCTGCACGCTGTCAGTGGCTGAAGTCTGTTGATGCCAGCTGGAGCAATGTTAGTGACAATGGAGTCCAAGCATTGGCAGACAATGTAAAGAGGTGACTACAAAGTGCTCTGATAAAAAAAAAATTATTTGTGCAGCTGTACCTACATGTGTACAGCTATAGTTCCTGTAGAATAAATATGAGTTTTTTCAGGGAACATATCCATGTACATGTAATTATTGTCTCTGTCATCAAAAAGCAAATACAAAAATTACCTTGATTGAAGATATCTTTATTAAGTAACTGACAGTAATTATTTACAAAATTTCCATTGGGTGTGCTGCAACTCAAACATGGTTGCAGCCCTTTGAAAAACATGTGAAAAATTTGGGAGAAATACATTGTATAGGGTTTTTAGTCAGAGTATACACACTGTACTTCTCAAAGGAGCTTTTTTCAAACCTGTGCATCATTAAAATTTTTCAACTTTTTAAATCTCTGTCAAACATTTATCTTCAATTTATTTCCATTCTTTTTTGGTATACTGTATTATTTCAGTAGTGATTACTTTTTTTGCATTTTCAAACTTTCATATATTTTTGATTACTGTTCCTTGTCACCTAGAAGGTAACTTTGTATGTGGCCCTCACATTGCACATGGCTACATGTAAACCCTTTAACTCCCATGATCTAATTTTCAATTCTCCCTTCCAGCTATTACATATTTCCCTTGAAATTAGTTACAACAAAATGGTGTTAGATCAAGATAACAACTTCTATCTGATAAGTTTGAGTATTCTTGTTACCTTTTTACTGGATACTGTATGGATATTATAGAGAGAAGTTAGTTGTTAATCACCTTTGGGAATTAAAGAGTTAAATGACGTGTACAAGTGGTATACCATTATCACTGTGTAGATAACTCATGATGTAAATTAATACAATGTTGCTACAGGTTGGAGTGTCTGTGCCTGAATGGCTGCCAAGCAGTTACAGATCAGTCTATAAAGTGTGTGGCAAACAAACATGGCAGTTGGTAAGTTCCCTGTGTGATTGAAAGTTAAGGGAGACAGGTATTGAAGTTATGTTAATCAAATACCAGGAATCTTTTCAAGCAGGTGCCCATAAACCAAACTACAGGACATACACAGGACATACAGTTGAATTTCCTTAATTTAACCCTGTAACTCCCATGAGTGACCAAGACAGAATTTTTCCCTATAACATCAATACAACCAGATAAGTGATGAGAATAAAGACGAGTATTAATTTGGAGATAATTAGTTGATCCGATGCTGAATTCTCTTAACTAACATTATAAGAATTGTATGGTTGACAGTAAGACGAATTACAAAATTGATCTAGGAGTTAAAAGGTTTAGCAGAGGAAATTGTACATGTACATGACTGACTTGTAGTTTTGCATGTAATTTATTGATAAGGTGGTACAAGTTTAACAGTGCGATCACAGAGTAAAGTAAAACGAAACTACATGTACTACACTGCTGTAGCTCTTTATTCATCGGAACGTGTGTTTATCCCCCCTTGCTCCAAATTTTACACCTGCTAAACCACTACATTTAAGTTGTGGGAAACTTAAACAGCTTTCAATATTAGGAGAAAAATAATGTACGCGTCCATTGCTTGATTGGGGCTTTTGCCGCATTACCCAAAGAGAAAAAGAGAACAAAACAAAACGCTCACAAGGCAGAAAATCGACGACCTGCCATAAAGGACTAGTCCGGTTTTTTTCCACACGCTTCGTTTCTTAAGAGGGCAATTAACATGACTACCAATATCCAGCTCAAGGGTGTACCTGTAGTTCTTGCCATCCACTTTGATATGCACGGAGAACGTTTTAATTTGTGATTGTGATGGTATCTGTACATGTTAAGATGTAGACACAACGTTAACCTTTTTTTTTTCTTTTTTCTTTTTCGGCAGCCTCAGAATTTTTGAAGTTTTTGGCTGTTTTAATATCACTACTGCAGGGATTAGGCTTCTTAGTCAGACTTGCAAGCATTTGCAGACATTGAACATTGGACAGTGCTACAAGGTACATGTACGAGTGTTACTTATCCTTGTAAGGAACGATGTAGAACACTAACGCCAGTATGCATATTCTCTGTACTGTTCTCTGTACATTTCCGAAGGTGCTGACTAGGAGAATTTGTTTAACAATCAAGGGCTTCTCCAGTTAGTGAACACCTCTTCCATTGTCGTGTCCTTGTTGTTTGATGATGGGATGATATTGTAAGGAGAAATTAGATGCTAATCATTCTTAGAAGGCAAAGGGTTAAAGCGCGGAAAAACGCGAGTTACCCGAGTGGCAGTTGTGTTTGGTTTTGAGTCTGAGTGATTGGATATCGTCAGAGCTTTCTAGACCAATCCTTGAGAGTAATGAAATGAAACCAGTGCAGTCTTCCTTCAACGCAACTCGAAAATTACACTTATTCGGTGGTGAATGCTCTGCTGTCCATATGCTCCAGCTGTAGAATCTTATGCGACTAGCGTCCTACATTTTGCTATGATTTTGATTCAGGCAAACTATCAATGGATTCCAAAGGATCCACTCGACCTGTTTTGAAGTTAATACGTAGTAAATAAGCAAACTTCCTGTTTTGTGTTACTCATACTACTGAACATGTTTTGTTTCTTCCCAGATCACTGACTCTGCCATTGGCTCCTTGGTGTCCAGTCTTCCAGAACTAGAGAACCTTGATCTTCGAGGGTGTAAACATGTACGCTACAGTTCTTGACCTATTGCATCAGATTTTCTAATATTTTTGTTTATGTACATGCAGCTTTTACTTACATGTAGATGTAGGCTCAGAGCTATAAATATTTTTGTGTCATCGGATAATGTCCGACTTATGAAATCTTATCACATTCGGACAGTGTAGCGACATTTTTTTCTATTAAAAGATCAGTGAATGAAAAGTGAGACTCGGTCTAAAAAAAACGTGCTTTTTAATAACAACCAGTCATGTAAAAAAGAAAAAAAATAATGGTGATAAAATGTCCACACACACACACACAATTCTGTTTATTCTAGCCGTTAAAAACGACGTCGTCGGACGTTCATGTAGAATTATGTCCGTTGAAGGAGGAGAATATTATATTTATAGCTCTGCATAGTTAAATTGAACACTGAGTAAAATACTCAGTGTTCAAATGAATATGTAAAAGCTCAAAAATGTCACTGCTTGTTTATCGGATTGGTGCTTTTATCTTCTTTGGAGAATTTAAACGTTCCTGATTGTTTGTATCCAGGTACGCGATTCAGCTGTGAAGAAGATTGTCCGTCACTGTCCTTTAATAACCACACTTGCATTGGCTAACTGCCCTTTGATTACAGACGTGTCTTTGGCAGAGATCGCCACTAACCTTCCAAGAATAAGGTGAGGCACTCTACTAAGTAATAAAATTGAGTGAAGTCAAATAAGTATATGGATGTTTCATGGATAATAAGCCCTCAAGGGATCGCTTTCTGTAACAATACGTGTTTCGCTGACTTGAAATTTGCTGTTGGTACAATCCAGGTCGTGTTCTATGCATTTATTATTTTCATTTGCCGCGTTTGATGAGGGTCAAATTGAAAGGGTTCTCTAAAACACAGCCTTCAATTATACCTGTGAGCATTAATCTGCAATAGAGCACACTCCGTGAAATCGTACAATTGTAAACCAGTTTAATTTGGTTTAAGCAACTGAGTTGATAATGTAAATTGGCCACCAGAGCAAGTAACGAAGGTCTAACGTTCGAAACGTCTGCCCTTGAAACTATTCACGGTGGCCAATTTACATGATCAACTCAGTTGCCAAACCAAATTACCAAGTGATACCTTCCATCACCGACGCAGCACCAAAGTTTCGTCAGAAACTTACCCCCTTTATTCATGTGTAAACCAATTTTTTTGGTTCAACAGGTCTCTTGATATATGCGGCTGTTCAAGAGTGAGTGACAAAGGTATCTGCGCTCTTTCAAAAAACTGCCACAAACTGGAATTATTAGACCTAACTTCTACTGGAGTGGGTCACAAGAGGTTGGTAGATGAACCTTTGACTCTAATACTCTCTTTGAGACACCATACATGAAGCTCTCCTCGTGTGTTAGATAGGAAAATTTTTTTGTCACATCAATATAACACTCGGTGGCTGATCAGGTTGTCGATTCTTATTAGTTGTTTCCTCTACCGAGATGTGATGTTGCGAGGAGAAGTTACATGTACGTACGTTGTAGGAATTTAACGGTTTGGCGAGTCCTTGGAAATCGTTTTCTTGGGATTTTTTTTTTTATCAGTATAGCACCCTTTTTCCGCCCAGTTTTCTGCGGTAGAAAAGGTCTTCTCCATTTGTTGGTTAGGACTTGGGGTTAAAAAACAACAGACTCAATTCAGCCATTACAAGATCATGATATCGTGGGTGACATAGTGGAAACCACGTCAGTTGATCAGTTATTGTTGTGATCCCAGCGAGATCGCCCATCGATTTTAACTCTCTCTTGGGGTCGATTCACTCGTTCATGTATGATCGCTAAAATGGCGTATTATTTTCCCAGTAACATCTGAAAACCGTACAACGTTACCAAGTCAACAAAAGTTAATCTCAGGGATGTTCTTAATTTTTTTTTCTCCTTCGGTCTATGAACGCCCTCTGCTGCTACAATCGGATAATTTTGTGATTAAAATTCATCCAGGGCGTGGTCGGTGTCGAAATTGCGTAAACAACCTCGCTGTCTCCCCCCCCCCCCCCCCTTATGGTAACGACTAAGTGACCACCGGTCCTCTGGTGTACAAAAGGAAAACTCGTTTGTTTTTGTTTATTTGTTTGACTTTTAGCGTCTTGTCACTCGCCAACTACTGTAGTCAGAGTTTGTGTAATTTGAAGCTGAGTTTCTGCACAGAAATTTCTGATAATACGGTGGTTCATCTTGCCAAACAATGCAAAAGGTAAGTGCGAGCATCAATGGTTTGGTACATTTTCTTTTTACAGATATGTAACCAATTAATGTTTCGTGATATTTTATAAAGACTTCAACCACGGATTTAATTCAGGATGAGCCATTAGACTTACTATTCCCAGCGTTCTTTGTTTACTTATTTCCATGTCTGTTTGTCCATTTATTTGTATGTATGGTAGTTTTTCTTCAAATTCACTCGACCTCTGAAGAAGTCCTGAGAAGAATTTAAAAAATGGCTTTGTCCTATACTTGCAATGACTTAGTTTACCTTCTCCCTTTTTTCTCTCCTTAGATTAACTATGCTTCACTTGTATGGATGCAAACGAATACGTAACACATCGGAGCTCAGATTGCAATACCCAGCTCTTACGATTGAGTGTTAATGTGTGATGAAGTTTGAAACATTTTTTTCTCTTGAAAGGGGAGAGGAGGGGCGGTTGGGACACATGAAATTTAAAGGTGGCAACAGTACGGAAATTTTGGCGTTTCTGTTCATGCCATAATTTCAGAATCTTCGTTTCGTTTTTCGAGCCTTCCAGTGTAAATACACACAGTGCCAACCGTTGAACTAATGCCTCGACGCTGGTTTACATTTGTCTTTGATTACGAGTTCCGCCGGCGATCCTCCCCACAAGCCTCCAGACTATGCAACAGTGTGATCACGCAGCAGTCAAACGTCGGGCATGCGCAAATCAGTTAAGCTTTCGCTACCGCGCGGCCATTTCCGGAAACTTAAAAGAAAACAAAAAAAAAACAAAACAAAACAAAACAAAACACCAAAAAAAACACCAGTTTCAAAACACAATTTGCGAAAAACAAATCAACTTTTATGAAAATCTAGAAATATTAAAAAAAAAGGAAGGAAGAAAATTAAGGTTTTCGAACACGAAAGTTCCTTGTAGATTGACCATTTTTCGACAGAGCTTTATTAAAAGCGTTCTACGCATTTAAAAACCGTGGCTTGCTAACTCTTGTGGTTGTTTTAACTCAATAATACAATATGGTTCTGATAGTCTTAGCGCAAGATGTTGGACCGCCTTTATTGTTCAACTTTTGCACATGCGTGGACATTTGACCGCTCTGGTGTTAGTATGCTCTAGTATAAAATTGTTGTTCTCACAGAGGGAAGGAGGGATTACTTTGCACTGGTTATTCACTAGATATGTGAGAAATGTTAGAGGGAAACTGGAGAGTTTTTAGACTCCATCAATTTAACCAAAAAAAAAATGGACAGTGTCAGTTAGCTTAGGGATAAAATGTAAATATTCATTTAGAGTAAGGAAGTAGAAGCCGTGAATTATTAGAAAAAAGATTTGATTTCTGTGAAATTTGCTGGGTCATTGACGTCAACTGTATGGGGTTCAGTAACTCTTTGATGGAGATTAAGCCGAGCTTAGACTTGAATCAGTTGCTGATCATCACGGTACCAAAAAAATCTGTGCATTTAATGATTTGAAGTAATACTTTAACCCAGTGACAAATATTTTTCTGAAATCAATTTTCTTATTTTACTTTCGTCCCAAAGGATTTCGCGGTTTTTTCGTCAAGTCTTGGAGTCATTTCTGTGGAAAAGAAATAAATGAGTGTATCAGAAAAATTACTCTCAATGTTAAGTTTCACTGAGTACACTTATGTAAATTTAGAAAGATCTTGTAATAAAGGTAACTCTTTATTTTTGCCAATTTGTTTTAACTTCATTTTCTCTAAAACTTCGACTTTTTTTTATTGGTGGTGTAACGTCAACCCTTTAGAGTGAATAGCATCTAGTTTCTCCCCATAATATCACCCCTGAATCACATTGAGGTCATGAGAATGAAAGAAATGATCACCAACTAAAGAGGCTTTTGATCAGTAAACATATTCTCCTCATTAACATCTTAGGAAGTGTGTAAAGAACACTGCGGAAAATAAGCATAATGACATTAGGGCTTAAAGGGTGGAGCGCTCTTAACTACGGGTCTATTGTAAGCCTCGGTAGGAAGGTTTCTCTGCCCATCAGAATATCATGACGCCTTGCGCAACGTTAGTTAGCGAGAGATCTTCAAGGGGTCTAGCAATCATAATTAGTGCCAGACTCCCGGAGAACCTCTTCTCGAAACGTTTCAATATCGGAGAAATGCGCGTTCTGCTCACAAGCTGATTAGAAGGGTCTGGGCTCGAGATCTGGCCAGGTTATGTGTTGTGCTCCTGGGCAAAACACCTTGCTCTTACAGTGCGGTTCTCAACCCAGAAGGTCAGCGGCGAACTGTTAGGAGAGCGTGACGAAATGTTGGGAAAGAGATGTAGAGACTTTGTCTCAGACCGTTGTAATAGACTCAAAGAAAATATTCGATATGGTTAGGGAATATAAGCAGTTTATAATATCTTGAGTAGCCTTGTTCTTTGCCGTTTTTTTTTCCTTGATTAAACAAATTGGTGAATAAACGATGACGATCGTTTCCTTCTCAAAATTAATTTGGATGTGTTCTCCGGTAGAAAGTACTCTACATACTTGGGAAAGAAGCGTGTGTTTTGATGTTTGTATCAGCCCACGGTTGGTGGATTAAGATCAGGAAAATCCTCATTACGCTTACAACTCACCTATAACGTTCCTCTTTCTCCTCCAACCCGCAACCCCTCCACTCTTACTTGCCGCCCTTTCTTCCATTCGGTGTTCTCTCGCTTGTTCTCTTGTTTCCTCGAAATTTGCATTTGTTGTGTGATGAGTGATGAAGTAGAAGCCGATCAGCGAAAGAGCGAATGTAGTTATACAAAGCTGCATCTGCAAACAATTGGATATCAGACAATTCAAAAGAATTTTTTTTCGCTTCTACACTCACACGTTTTTTATGACAGAGCGGCAAAGATACTTGCCAAGGATTCCTATTGCGTGAAACTTGCAGAAAAGGATTTCACCTCCTAAAAACCTTTACAAGTCTCGATCAATTTATCTGTAGGAAAAGGTTTTTCGGCCGAGAGCAATTGTGCAAGATGGTAGAAATTGGAGAAAAAAAGATACCGGCCCCTCGTGAATGCCCCCTTTCTCAGAGTTCACGCGGCGCCGGAATATTTTTACCGTTGTCTGTTGACTCTTGTAACGATTTCTCGCCGAAAGAAGCGGCTCGCATTTATGGTCTAGAAAATGTCGCCCTCCGCAAATTTTTTTTTCTCTGGATACGTACCTATTTTTCTGTCTGAAATCTGATATTACACTAAAAGCAAAGCAATCGTTGTTCTCAAAAAAAAAAAAAGAAAGAAAAGAACCACAAACATAAGTGCGGGGGAGCGGTAATTTCCAAAATTTTAAAAGCTATGCTAATCAACATCAGATTTAGAAACTGTCTTTAGCATCTAATTTGCTTTAAAGTTCGTAAAGAATCTTTTTGCTTTATATCATTACTTTTCTTTCTAAAGTAAAAAATCAAAACTGTTAATATTTAGATCACAGCTGATTCTGAGGTGCTCCTTAAAATCTTTTCAAGAACAAATTTCGAATAAAGAATAGAATAGGTTTGTGATGGAACGACTTAAGTTAGTACATTTTGCGTGGCTTTCCTATATGATTTTCAGGCACAGGGATGGTTTTAATTTCAAGCTGGATTTCAACGTTCTTGCATAATCTTATCAAATCAAACTTTCGCATGAGGCCGTAACTTTCCTTTAGTTTTCCACTGTCCGATCTACTGTCTTGGTGAAATATAAAAGTGACGAACGGGAATTCTGAGAAATTATCACATCAGGTTGGAGTACACCCTCAGTATCGTTGTCTAAATGGTTTTGTATGCCAAATTAGTTCAAATTCATTTTACTTCGTTTTGGTTTAAACAAAAAAATTCAAAACAAATTAAATCAAGCTATCTGCATAATATCCAAGACTATTTCAAAACTACTGTAGGTTTTAGATTATAGGATTATCCGAGGAAAAATATCATTTGGTTACCTCTTATTCAAAACAAAATGCCGCCAATTCACTTTAAAAGTACCTTGCAGGGAAGAACATTGGGAAACACTGAATCATCTCACTGAGGGAAAGATTTAATCTTACTCTGCTACATTTGCAACGTTTACAAATCATCATTCATTCCATCCACGGACCGGTAAAAGCCGATCAGTCACTAGTTGAAGTTTCCGACGTAAAACTCTCGTCAACGCACCTCGATTGGCTAAGAGAAGTTTTGTTTTTGGCCCATATACGTCAGTGACTACCGTCATTACGAGTAATTATTAAGTCTGTAATCGTTCACGAATTCTTTTATTAAAGTAGAATTATTCCCCAATTTTAACCATGTGGCTGGCTTTCCTTTTAAATATTGCAATCATAGGGAAGTGATATGACTCGATGTTGTAACACTGAGCTCCTGAGCGCTAAGCGAATCATACGAATCGAAGGATCCCATTTTAATCAGCTTCTTCCCATGGTCTAAGTAAAAGGTTTCTTTATAGTAGAGGAAAAAAAACCTTTTTCCTGTCAGAAATTAAATACGTGAAATGTTTTCACTCGTTATTTGGTTTTTAATGTAGGATGTTTATTTACCAAATGACGAAATAAATTGATTTTATTATTAGAATGGCAATCAAGTTCGTCGTTTGTCTTCCAGAAGTGCTCATCTCAAGGGATAACCACTTATAATACATTTTTTTTTTCATCTTTGTAAGAAAGAAAATACAATTATACATGGAAGATGTAGCTCTTGAAAGAATCCCATGAATTAAAATCATATTTCGGAGATTTTTCTTCTTTCATCACATTTTCTTATCTTGACCTATTTTAATAAACTTTTTAACTCCCAAGATCTGATTGCCAATTCTCTCCACCAGCTGCTACATATTCTCCTTTAAATTGGTTACAAAAATTTGGTGCTGGATCAAGATAGCAGCTTCTACCTGATAAGTTCGAATATTCTCATCACCTGTTTGCTGAATAATGTACAGATATTATAGGGAGAAGTTTCATGTTAATCACTTCCGGGAGTTAAAGGGTTAAGCAAAACTAGTAACCGTTTAGATGGTCTTCGCAGACTCAAGTCGTTTGACGTTATCTTTGGACAAAATTTTTAGTCTTTCCGGAATCTATCTCCTTTTTTTTCCCTTAATTTTCCTGGTTGTCAATGTTTTTGTTGTCCTTTCCCCTTACTTATGTCCGGTAAAGGCGGAACGAGCGGATCTGAGTTTCAAGACGTTCGTAACTTGATCTTCCATCTTCTCAAGTAATCAAAAATACTCAGTTTACTTCCTTTAAATATTGATTTCAGGTGTCAAACCAGCCGATTTCCATAACCATTCCATTTTGGTCTGTGAAATCTTAAAGACTACTTCCCCTCGCTGCTCCCCCCTATGTATCAGTGGGCTCGTATCAATGAGGTGTAAAGACCCATACTGACCAAATACAAGAGCCGCTGACAAGATTACTTTGATATAAGACAAATTTTAAAAAAGTGGGCTTTTCAACGATGGCTTTTGCGGTCAAGAAATCGTCATGGAGTTCTCACCACCTGAATATTGTAGGTTGTTTGCTTGACAAAAGGCTTACAGAAAGGGAAGGTCACGTCTTGCCAATAGTTATCAACCATGAAAGTTAACAGCCTCCCCCCCCCCCTCCACCCTCCCCTCCGCTTCCCCCTTCCACTCCCCCCTCCCACTTCGGGAGATGTTTATCATGGAGACTTCCTTATTCTTTAAGATCTTAAAAGCTTAAGTCTTAAATCTTTCCATATATTAGCCAAGTCTGGACGATCTCTCCCCTCTCCCGTCCATCTTTTTTTCTCGTTCTAACTACGGGTCCCAAGGGCGCATGCAGAACTCAATGACACTTCCTGTTCGAGCTGCCATTAGTGAGTCCTAAATTTTGTCGCCAGTTAGATCCATAGAAGAATATTCGCCTCATAAATCTGAGGGATTTCACATTTCTCACGTACAATAAATTATATAAACATGATGTTTAATTACTGAAAAATACTTAATTACAATTGGAAATATATGAGAACGGTCTCCATTAAAACTAGAGAACCGGAATATAAATCACTTGAAACCGAAAAACCGTCGAAAATAAGTATCCGCACCAAGGTGAATTGAGGAGGCTCACAAGAACAGGACACTGAAAAAAATACTATTTTTTTTGTACACTTTCAGCGAAAAATGAAAATTTTTATCGCAAAAAACTGAAAAATCGATCTCAAAACTGGCCAAAACCTGAAAACCCCGTATTCCTGTATTATTTAACTCCCAAATACCTTTTTGTCCTGAGCTTGATTTTAAAGCAAGGTTTATCCTGTTTCAGATTAAATCAGTTAAACTACGAGGGTTTGGTCTGCATCGATGCCAGTAGTATAGATACCAGTTTATCATTCATTTTGAATGTGTATTTAGATGAACAGCTAGAGTACTCACACCTGATAAAACAATGTTGGAGTCTTAGTTATTAGGAAGTCTTCAGATTTGTTTATTTTAAGCAGATTTGTTGACAAAGTTGCAAGCCAACAGCTCTCAGGATCCGAGAGACTTACTGCTCAAGGACACGTTTTTATTTCCTTTTTTACTAAGATATTTCGCGGCCGCCATAATCTTAATAATATTTTGAGATGTTTAGAGCTTTATTGTGATCCCTCCGCCTACGTACTGCGACCAAATCCGTCCATATACACTCGCCTGTGCCTTCGAAGTTCTTACCAAGTTTGTGAACCTTTTAATTCAGATTTAATTATCACTTCTCTTGCCTTCCTTGACCAGGGAAATTCTTTTCCCTCGCGGTCGTAAGCTTAGTCAACCTGACTCATAGGTGTCTCCAACACTTTCACGGGCCGGCGAGTTGAGAGCTTGAAGAAGTTACAACACGGTTTGGGATTCAAGGCTTTTTAAAATTTTTCGTCAGTTATGTTCCAGAAAAACATCACCCTGTATTCTGCTGCTTGGCTTATTTTTACCCCCACAAAGCATTTATTTTTGAAGGTTTTTATCTTATACTAAAAAAATTCTTGCTGTCGCTGAAAATACCCAAAAATATCTTGACGTGAATCTTCTAAATTTGATTGACTTCTATGATTTCACCACAAAACTTCAGTGCTAGATAAGAAAGAATGTTAAATAAAAGACAATTTCAAAGAAGACAAATAGAGTATCTTTTGCCTTTTAAAATAATCTAGCAATTCCAATGTTTTTAGAGGTGTGTTGTGCAATCATAGCCAGGTCTGAAACCGATAAGAACTTTAAACCAGTTAGCAAACCTGGAGATTTAACTCAAATGATATAATGACTTAGTCAAAGTTCAGGTACTATTAATCAAGTTACAAACCCTGTTAAGGCTTTAACTGCCATCATTGACCAAGGCAGAATTTCTTCTTACAATATCAATACAATATCAAGTGAGTAAGTGATGAGAATGAAGAAAATTATCAATCAGGGGATTATTGGTTGATTCGATACCAAATTCTCTCTTAAAGTGAGAAATTAATAGGCCATCACGAAGCAAATTAGCCAAAACGTGTTGATAAAACCCTCGTGATCAAGAATTTTACCCTCGGTGTAAGAGATTAAAACAAAAAATCATCTTCCTCAACACCGCTTAACAAACAGCGAAGTTCTTATCAGAACTTTGACTCTACTAACCATTGACCGTTACTGCTAGCCGTAACGTACAACTTTTAACATTAGCATCACGGTCCCTTCTCCCTTTGTTATGTAGCTACGAACTTGTATATATACCTGTTGCACACGTTAGCTAAGAATAGAAATCAAAATTGACCAATAAAAACACAAATATTTGAATAGGCTGAGATGTTTGTTTGAGGTTACTTTTAGAAATGAGTCACTACAGATATTCTTCAAATTTTTTTCGTGTAAGCAAGTTTTAATAACCACATATCCGATAAACACGAACAGCGGCAGCCAGAACCTTCTGACACGGGAGACACAGTATGCGACATATCTAATCTGGCCGGTGTACTTAGTTTAACGCGAAACAGGAAATGTAACCCTCAATTGCGAAATAAAAATTGTTCAGATTTACTTGTCAGAAATTTTGCACGTAGTTTAGAGGGGATTGGAGTTTACTTGGATTTAACGGACTTCGAGGGCTATGACCTCATTTGTGCTTGGGTCGTGTTCTATTTCATGACAAGATGTACTATCTGTTTGTGGCTAATAATTACTGACATGAGACGAACAAAATCTATAAGGGTTAGGAATAAAGCTCTGAAAATTGTACATCTAAATAAATATTGGCCGGAAAGTAATTTCGTAAAAGATGCTTCAAACGACCCATGAAGGCTAAAAACTATAAAAAATGCGACGATTTACATTTCATTTAACTTTATTGAGATATTTAGACCGAGATGTAATTTAGATATGCAGTTTTACCCTCGTATATCTCGTTCGTCTCAAGTCAACAACTATTAACCACAAACACATAGTGTGGTCTGACCGTGATGATACGCTCTGCAACATTCTCGTGACCTTTCGATTATTGGACAATGTGATATGTGAGATAGGATCTGTTATTAGAAGTGAAACTCGGTTTGTTTCCGGTGTCAGTTTCAAGAAACCAAATAAAATGGACAAAGGTTGGTCACTAAAGAGTCATTTAAACTTGGAAGCGCAAGAGAAGGTAAATTGTGCCGCAGAGACATCAACTTCCTTTCAGCAGAACAAGGGTAAGTGATCTCAGTTTGCGCGGCTACTCGGAGAGTCCTTACTACCACGTAAATTCCCTGTCCAAATTCAAAGTGAAGTTTTGTTCTCTATAAATTATTTGTATTTAAAAAGGAAATGTTAAATGCATTACTTGGCCTTTTATTTTGGTTGTCTTTGAGAGGTAAAAACGAGCCCAAAGAACTCGTTCTCAGGTTTAACATTTTTCAGTAAATAAGGAAAAATCAAGAAAGATACCCCTACTCATTGAAAAGGCTTACGGATCAAATACTTTCTTTTTAGGATGGAAAAGGTCGTATGCATCCTAAATGTCTAACTTAATTGAAAAACTTTCGCTTAATTTCCCCTAGACGCACTATTTAGCAGTTTTTTTGTTTCTAACTTGGATGAATACTAAAAACGTGCTTTACAATAAATTTCCGCTTCTCGCTCCTACAATCGCTTTTCTAAGACCAGGTCAAATGCTGTTACGATGAGTAAGCGAGATGACGTCATTAAGGGTGGAAATCTTATGTTTGCTTTAACTAGTAGCTCTGTTTCTCTTCAACACAAAGCAATGGCTGATCACACAATCCACCTAAAACTTTTGGTCGCCAGAGGTGGAAATAGTCAAAAGAGGATGGTAGCTTAGGAAAGACGTTTTGAAACCTGTACCTCGCTATGAATTCTACCGCGATTAATATCTTGAAATGTTTCGACGAACATTCCTCACTTACGGGAAATGAGAATCTAGTCAACTAATTTTCCTGACTTACATATGTGAGAGATTATTGCCGTGATAATGATTTGACGTCTTAAATAAATCAACGACAGCACGGATTTTTTCAGGCAACAAGGCTTTTCGGAAAGATGTTTCATATCAGTGATTCGTAGAGTTATTGGTTAGGATCTCCTAGATTATGATATTGGGACACGACATGTATGTGTGCTTGGTAAAATAATTTTTTTTATTTTAATTCAAGGAATTGTCAGTCTTTAACATTGTTTTTATTTCACAGATTTTATATTTTAGGTCAAAAGAAATTTAACGTTAAGAATCACCATGAGACAGATTGGCTGTGTTTTTGCCACCCTTGCGTTCATCATTTTATGTAAGTGAAAGTTTTTCTGCCTAAATTCCTCCAGTCTGATGTCTAAGAACACTAATAGCAATTTGAACCCATGACCTCTGCGTACCGGTGCAGCGCTCTACCAATTGAGCTAACAAGCCACCTGGGAGCTGGTCAATGAAGTGGGTGAAGATTTTAGACATATGAAAATTCATATATTTGCACTGCGGTGGAAAGATGAAATTAGAAGATCCTCGCAGCTAAGAACACTACTGAAACTAGTAGTTGTTAGTTGGACCTGAAAAAATTTAAGGCCCGTACGGGATTTGAACCCATGACCTCTGCGATACCGGTGCAGCGCTCTACCAATTGAGCTAACAAGCCAACTGGGAGCTGGTAAATGAATTGGGTACAAATAAACATCCGAGTGAATGAAGATTTTAGACATATGAAAATTCATATATTTGCACTGCGGTGGAAAGATGAAATTAGAAGATCCTCGCAGCTAAGAACACTACTGAAACTAGTAGTTGTAAATAAACATCCGAGTGAAATGAAGATTTCGCAGAGTAAATAAACATCCGAGTGAATGAAGATTTAGATATATGAAAATTCACATATTTGCACTGCGGTGGAAAGATGAAATTAGAAGATCCTCGAGGATGACCAGCTCCCAGTTGGCTTGTTAGCTCAATTGGTAGAGCGCTGCACCGGTATCGCAGAGGTCATGGGTTCAAATCCCGTACGGGCCTGAAATTTTTTTCAGGTCCTACTTACAACTACTAGTTTCAGTAGTGTTCTTAGCTGCGAGGATCTTCTAATTTCATCTTTCCACCGCAGTGCAAATATATGAATTTTCATATGTCTAAAATCTTCATTCCTCCAGTCTAATAGCAATTGGAGTCCAGTCTCTTCACGGATTATTCATTTATGAAGATGTTTTTGAGAACTACTCAGGTGTTCTTGCGTTTGAGGGAGAATGAACACGAGATCTGAAGGGCTCTTTCATTTCTAACGATGGAAAAGATTTCTGGGACGAGCCAAATCAATGTCTGTGCATGGGGAGGCCATGTACATCGCGTGGAGTTTTGCAATGCCCCGCTGAAGTTTACCCCGGTAAAGTGGGCTGACTGCCGATATTCATTAGATATCATCAGATTGGGACAGTTTATCTGGGGTCTCAGTTGAGGCATGTTATATGTTAAGGTCCTTTTCGATCGTCGAACTTTTCGTTTGACAAAGTGACAAATATCTTAGGCTGTTTCAAATAATGATTTTCTATGGCCACGTCCGACTTCGACAGCTGAGTCCGAAATTTAGTGGTTGAACTTATTCTTTAGCGAAAAAAGGGAATTTCTTTTTTTTTATGTTTGTGTAAATGACAAGTGCATTTTTGAACTGTGCTTATGGCTTAAATATGGCTGATTTTAGCTAGAGAAGTATTCTGTGTCAGTGCTTTGAAAACAGTCACTCTCCCATCTCCTTTATAGCTATGGATCAATGTCAAGCCTGGCGCAGGCCTTGTGGCCTGGAAACAATCGACCGTCGCGATGACCGAGAACCACGGAGTCTTAAAGAGATCGATCGTTGCTGTGGCGTTCAATATTACGACCCAATAAGACAGCTATGTTGCTTTGGTAGTCTCGTTCTACCAAAGAAACCCGGCGACGCTTGTTGTGGATCCCGAAAGTATAATTTTCACACAGAACTGTGCTGTGGATTCACCGTAAAGAAAAAGACTGGTTCTCAAAATGCCTGCTGTGGAGCAGTTCCGTACGATAGCAGAAGATATACCTGTTGTGGTGGAACTGTTACTCCTCGAGCTTCTAGTCATCAGCATCTGAACAGTTGTTGTGGGTATGTATTCAAACAACTAGCCATTTTTTTTTGGCAGAGGTTGTTTTCTTGGCAGCCTTTATATCGAATGTCACGCAAAGATCCCTAAGCGTGCACCCCAAGGAAAGATTGTTGATAAATCCAAAGAGTCGCTGGTCGGAAGGCTCAGACCCGAGACCACCATTAACAACTATTCTTATCATCATTATTATTATTGATATTATTATCATCATCATTAACCACATTCTTTGTCTCACAGCAAGAGAAGTTACAACCCTTACACTCATGTCTGTTGTAATGGAGTCATTTCATCCAAGCCCGCTCAGTGCTGTGGCAGCAAAACTTACGATCCAAGGTCACAAGTGTGTTGTGGGGGAAAAATTGTGTCTACCCCAAGCATCTCCTCACCTGCATGTTGTGGGAGCAATGTTTACGACAGAAACCAACAGGTTAGAACAATTATTAACACGGCTGAGGGACAATCGAGAAATTAAGATTGGACAGTCTTCGTTTTCCCTTTGGACGCATGACAAGGGCTAGATAACAGGGCTCTCTATGACTGTGCCACAAGGTTACTGCTGCACAGAAGTGTTTTATTATTGTTAATGATGATGTCATGCTTTAATTGTATGACGTTTACTTAGTGCATTGTCCATCCTAATGCGCCTTACAACACTTTGCGAGGGACAATGCTAGACTGCATTGAGAAGTTCATAATTATTTTCAGGTGCCTCCCAATAAACCAACAATGATGAGGTGAACGGTGGCTCATGCCTTAACCTAATAGTCAGAGATTTCTACTGCTGTTTTATTACATCTAAGTGTTTTTTAAAAATGCTCTATGCCATCAGATCTGTTGTTCGAATGTACTTTTTGACAAGCCAAAAAACCCAAGTGGCATCCAAGTAGGCTGCTGCGGTAGCAACATCATGTTCACCTCTCATCAGATGTGCTGCGCTGGGAAGGTTGTAGGTAAACCTCAGGGTGTACAGAACCCAAGATGCTGTGGAAATCGAGTCTATAACTCACAAACACAGGTACTGATCACTTTGCCATAGTTGTGAACATCTCCTTACTGCAGTGAAGGGCGCGGGGAAGGGAGTGTGGGTTCTTTCCATCAGTGAGCGTAACCGAGATGCTGCCCCAAAAAGAATTCCTTTTTCAGGCTCGACGTATATAATGGGAAATCCTGATTTTGGAAAAGTGGAGGAAAAGTGTCATCAAATACCCACAATAGTCTGACAGTTAATCGATCTTATCAAAGTGATAACAATTTGATTCATAACGCGAAAATTCTGTCAATATGTATTAAAATGCGCCAAATCAAAATTTCGAATGTTGGTTACAACGGAAAAAGGAAAACTAGAGAGCCCTTTGAAAAACCTTAATAGCAAAGACGACAGGAGCAGGAATAGAACATAGTGCACACAGTGGAAGGCGAGTGCTCTGACCACTGCATCGTACTAATCCCTCCATTATCCACCACTGTCATTCAAGAAGAAGCTCGCGTAAATAGCTCCGTGTGTCTTTTCTCTCTTACTACATATAAAAAGTACATCATGGGGATCCCTTTAAACCCAAGCTTGTAAGGGTCTTGAACTTAGCGCTAAAAAATTAGAGACGAAGCTCTCTCCACATACACTTTCGCTCGCTTAGTAGGGCACCTTAAGTAAGGTGTGTCTTCCCTCATTTCCGCGTCGAAATTGGAAACGAGAAAATTTAAAACTGTACTCTAATTTGTTTATTTCTATTATAAAGACTAAATCTAAATCTTTTTGTTGTGTAGGTTTGTTGTTCCAACAAAGTAAGCAACGGTAAAGTGTGTTGTGGGAACGTTGGATACAACCCTCTAACGCATTCTTGTTGTGGCTCGATGGTCATAAAAGGTTCGAGCCTGTCAACCGTTCATGGACCACAAAGGAAATGCTGTGGACGAACATTTTACGATCCAAGATTTGAAGACTGCTGCCATGGCAGATACTCGAGACGCAGAGGATGTTGTTATAACAACAAACAGTGGGGAGATTCCACACAGAAATTCCGCAAACTGTGTGGGGATGATTATTAGAAAACGTCGTTTTCCTTCGGAAATAGTCATCTCATGCCTGATGGGCTCTGCTTCAAGATTAAATAGCAAAAACATTACAGCACTTTTCGATTAACTTTAAAGAAAATGAGACAAGGTTCTCAAACGGCTAATAAAAAATAATGTGAGGAAATAGTGAGATCTAAAACCAAATCGTGGAAGTTTCTCGAAGCGTGGGATAACGTGGCTGACTAACACGCGATTTGTGTTAGCTTCTTTCTAACTGGATGACACGGAGACACAAGTTTTCTGGGCCAATCACGGAGCGAAGTCGAGATAAATCCCAGATTGCTGTTGACACGTAATTGAAATTTGCTCTAAAAGGTTTAGAAACAGAGTTAGATTTTTGCTGCAATCTTTATTACTTGTGACACAAAATAATAAACTGTGTTGGTATTGAAATCACTAGTTTTGAGTTTGATAATCTTTATTTGCAGTGGTTTGATCGCCTAAGTTTCGATTACAATACGATTAAACGGTTGAATGTAAGCAATCCTGGTCAGATATTTTTTCCGGAAACGAGTGAAGGAGTGAACACTAAAATAGTCCGACCTTTCGATCTTCTCGATTTTAATTTCACGGGGTAACATTTTGATAAAAGTGGAAAACAATAGAAAGACATATCTGGGGAGTCTGTCTAAAGGAAGGCCCAGTCCCTTAGCAGGGATGACCTTATTCAGAGGTCAAATGTAAAGAACATGAGGAAAGAAAATAGCAGGAATTTTAATTCGATTGAGTGTTGGGTGAAGTAATCACAACAGCCAATCAGGAGGAAGGAAAATACCTTAAAGAGCCAATAAGAATTCAAAGTTTAACGGACTATACTGCCTAAAAGTGTGAAAGTCGCGAGCAACTGATTCGCGATTGGCTTTAGTTTTGCATCTGACCGTTTGGAAGAGTTGTGCAAGTTTTCTGAATCAATCACAGAGTAAACAAAAGCAAAGCAATCAGAATTACTTCTGATATTCAATTAAGAATTACTCTAAACAGTCCCGTGGACTACAGATAAAGAAGTTTGACTACATTATATAAAGTGTCAGGTTAAAGAAAGGAAAAAAAATATTAACAAGGGGATATGTGGGCTCTTCATGATCTGCAGAATACTCTTCACTTAAGAAAGAGCATAATTTGTAATTGTTCCACGGTCTTGTTAGTTACGTCACAAAATGCCTATTATAATGATTGAAGTTTGCAGGCGCGCGCATAATTCTATTATAGTAGAAATGAAATTTTTTCGTCGTCTTATTTTTTTGCTTTAGATGCAACCCTAGGAATAGTAATGGCGGGGCGTCTGATAGACTATGTCATTAGAGGAGATTCAAAAAAAATTAAGGTTTGTAAAGATAATGGAATCAACGTGGACGCATGAGATAAATTTGAGAACTCATCTTTGTTTTACGCCGTAAGTGGAGATAAACAAAACTGCGTGAAACATCTCCTTAGATTGTGTAGCAGACCCAAATAGGTGAGACGTTAAATTGTATGCTGAATACTCTTTTACGCAACGCAATAAGAAGGTGATTAGTGCTAGTTACACCTTTACAATTGCACTCATTCAGCGAGTTGATATCTTAGTTTGACATCAATAGACATAACATAATTTATATGCATAACGTATCCGTGAGTGGTATTTTAGTTTCACCCAGTTAAACTAGATAATACAATCATATTAATCATTCTCACTTGCACAAGGTTACACTCGGTCAATGAAGCATATTCAAAGAAGAGCGTTGAATGCGTAGAGCTATTCTATATTCCTTAACAAGGAGGATCACCATAACAGAATTCTAGTGTTCACAAAGAACGCCCAGGTCTGTCCGCCCAAAGAGATCAGAACAGGAGAGTTCATACAGATGTTGAAGAACAAGAAAATCACCAACAACAGACACGATGTGTTAGAATCAAACGTCGCCAAAAAGAAAAAGGTACATGTATCCTATTGTTTTAATTAATAATTTTCCCAATAATGGTTTCATTTTGAGGTTTTATGCTTTAAAGAGATAGTTGGAAGTTTCCATTCAAAATTGATCTTCAGTTTTATCCCATGTTTCCTGATTATTTTTTGCTCCAAACCAGTTGTGCTCACTGAATAAATTTTTGTTCTAATTTTTACGTTATTTAGGAATAGGAACATGAAAAAGATAAACGAGAAAGTGTAAAGTGAATAAAAGAATAATTGAATATTCTAGTGCTGATTTGTTGAGTTCTTCTGCGCTGACTGAGAACATTGTGAAGTGCAGATGGAGTAAATAGAAGATGAATCATAAAACAAAACCAGCAGGAATTTAGGAAAGGAGGAGAGACAGACAACTTGGCTATTGATCAAGCTGTGCAGCCAAGGGGCTGACCTTGACACTGCCGAGAAACAACTTCATTTTACTGATAGAACAGAGATAGCAACGCCTTTTACGATCTGGACTAACATTTTTTTCACTTTTTTTCACTAAATCCAGCTTAAAAAGAAGCTATTGGCCGATGTACTTCCTGAAATCACCGCTGACCAGTTAAAAGTCCCCCATCTTGCGCTATTGGAAGACATGCCTCACATGACCCTACAGAGTGCACTGTGGAATCATTCCCTCGTGACTGTAAAACGTGTTAAGGGACAGGAGGGTAGTAGAACGCTTGTGAAGAGAGAGGTGGATATATTGTGGTAGGATGTCTTTTTGTTAGTCGTAAGGCAGTAGAGAAATTGTGCTCATCCCCCCTGTACAATTACCAACCACCAAAGTAATAAATATTTCCATTGCATAGATATCGTTTGACATCGTTAGTGGAATTTCCTAAAAAAAATGAAAAAAAAAAAAAAATGCAAAGGTAGTGTAAGAACAAAAATTCCTCTTCTTTGGTTTTCACCCTTATTTCTCCAAGTTGCTACACACTTTGTTACTTCGAGTGAATGCCTGTGAAATCGCATTCAATCAACAATGAACAATGATTGCTATTTTGCACCAGTGACTGCGAATAATGGAGGTCATGTAACTAAGAAGGCGGGAAAACTATCAAACAGGGATCCAAGATAACAGGTAACATCAGCTCACTGTTTTTTTCTTCTTGATTTCATTTCTACAGCCGTTTACAACATCCACACCTAGCAAAACTTCTGGCGGTATGTTTAGATCCTGATCCAGATCATCTCTGTCTTGTAATGGAGCATTTTCAGTTTGCTTCTCTCAACCACCTGCTACACAAGACCCAAGAAAAGATGAGCCTATCTATGAGAATTCATCTTCTATTAGATATATCCAACGCAATGCTTTATATTCACAGCCTCTCCATAATCCACGGATTTCTTAACTCATTTTCAGTTTTCATTGACGAGAAGTTTAGGGCAAAGATCGGTAACCTAGAGTTTTCTCAGAAAGTTGGAGACTTGAATCATGAGATTGCATGTCGCAAGATACAAAAGAACTGGATGGCACCCGAGCAAATCTTACATGAGCCACCAGATACATTTTCCGATGTTTACAGGTTGGTTCAATTTGCGTTCAGTTTCTTTTTTTAGCTCTGATAGGCAACCTAAGGGTGCATTGTCATCGATTATTTTCGTCTTCTCCAGGGTCCAATTGTTCAAAGGTTGGATAACGCTATCCTACGGGTAACTCACCCGTAGGATAGCGTAGGGATAGGGTAACTTACCCGTAGGATAGCGTTAGCAAACCAAAATACCGATAGGATAATTTTCTGAAATGAATAGAATAGCGAAATAGCGAGAGCAAACCGAAATCCAGCGGATAAGTGTCAAGGAAACGTCCTGCGCCATCCACCGGATTTAAGATTTATCCAGCGGATAGCGTTATTCACCCTTCAAACAACCGACGCCAGGTGATTATTCTTGGTTTATTGAAATAATTACAAATTGCACGCTATAAAACACATTTCGATTGAGTTAAACCAAAACCACAGTATCGCAAGAGTGAATCAGGACGTAAGAAGATATCACTGTTGCATACAGAATAGACTTATCGAGCTGATTAATTCTGTTTGCTGTTTTTATCCAGTTTTGGCGCTCTAATGTGGGAGTCCTTGGCTAGAAAGGTTCCGTGGTCATGGCTGACGGGAATCACATTAAAACAAGCTCTCTGTCGGGATCGCATGATCCTTCCTATGCTGGAAATCTGGCCAAGCTTCATTCAGTCTATCATGAAAAAATGTTTCAGTGACCCCCCAGGTCGGCCAAGTTTCCTTAATTTACATAAGTACCTCCTGACAACTGAAAGCTGTGTAGAAGGACTGACTTCAGAAATCATGGACGGAGCCTTTCTTGATTGGTACGAATTTCATGTTGGTGGCAAACAGGACGAGACTCATAAAGTAAGGACCAGGACTATTTCAGAGATTAACCCCAGTTTGAACACTAGTGGAAAGCCAGAAATTTACGCGATGCGAAGACGTTCCTCGTCTCAAGCGAATGGAAGGCGCAGAAGTACGCATCTAACAAGCGGCTTGAAAGATGCTTTAAGAATATTTTCAAATAAAGCGCAAACTCGAAGGGAAAGAGAGATTGAACAATATGGCTACCAAACTGAGGAAAAATTACAGTTGGTTCGAGACGTTCATCGACGGGCTCGAAACTACTCACGTTCCAAATGGGCAAAGGAGGTTGCCTTAACCAGAGCAATAGAGAGAGATTTAGGGAGAGTCCAAAGTGGAAAATGGAAAAATGATGGCACTGCCACGAAAGTCTCAACATCGATGATACATGGAGGGAATAGTAGTGTTTTGGATGAGGATGATTTTGACAGACTACTTATGACATCCTCTAAGTACTCGAAGAAGGACTGGTCTAAAGTACGACATGGAATGCAAAAGTTAAAGAACTCAATGAGAGGATTTAAGGAAAAGGTCAAGGAAGAGCTCAGCGTCTCGGGTGAGAGAGATCTGGCTAATTATGACAGCTTTCCCGAAAAAGGTGTGGTAAAGACACTCTTTGAGAACGCAGGAACAGCTAAGGAAAGCGCTACACTGTTTTCATCGTTTGAAAATGAGAAAACCAACAAAACAGTGTCTTTAAAGAGAAACATTCAGGAAGTGCATCATTCGAAAGATTCCGTTCACAGTCCATCTCAGTCACTTAATAAACCATTGAAAGGGAGAAGGGAGTATGTGAGGCAAGAAAAGGGTGTGCTACTTTCTGCAGCAACTACAACTTCTGCTGATGAAAGGGATACTCCCAACACCCGTGAAGGAACGGAGATCGGTGGCAACCTCAAGGGTAATACCTTACGTAATAGCGTAAATGCTGGGACATGTGGGTCTCAAAGAAAATCGGCGACACCAGAGCTCATCGAGAAATGCCGACCAAGGACGCATTCAGCGGCAAAGGCACAAGCAAGTCCATTTGTTGAGGTAGAACATACTAGAGAGACCAGTAAAGTGAAAGAGTTCAATAGCAACCTTGTAGGTAACTCTTTGCAAAGTAATGTAAATGCTGAGGCATGTGGGTCTCGAAGAAGCTTGGTGACTGCCGAACTCACCACCAAACGACAACCAAGGACTCGCTCAGCGGCAAAAGCGGAAGCAAGTTCATCCGCTGATGTAACAGATACCCGTGACACCAGCAAAATAACAGTGTCCGGTAGCAATTTCAAGGGCAACATTCTGCCCTGTAGCGTAAACGCTGAGGCGTGCGGGTCTCGAAGAAACTCGGTGACCTCTGAGCTCACCGAGAAACGCCAGCTGAGGACTCATTCAGTGACCAAGGCAGAAGCAAGTCCATCTGTTGATGTAGGAGATACCCTAGACACCAGTGAAATAACAGTGTTCCGTAGAAACCTCAAGGGTGACACCTTGCATAACAGCGTAAATGCTGAGGCATGTGGGTCTCGAGGAAACTCAGTAACACAAGATTTCCCTGTGAAATGTAAACCGAGAACTCATTTAGCGGCAAAAGCGGATCTAAGTGCTTTAGAAGGTTCCAGAAACAGCGGTTTGAAATTAACGGATCTACATAGAGAAACTCACTCCAAGGTCATCCCGGAACTTCAGTGTAATAACAATTCAAAAATTGTTCTTGATCTCGATTTTGAACTCCAGGGTGGAAGCTGTAATAATGTCTGTGCAAAGAGCTTTCGGACAAATTCGTTTATAATAGCACCAACAGAAGGGCGCCAAAAAATTCATCGAACTCAATCTCATTCTCCCAGACAGGTACGACAAGGCTTGTTTGATATCAGCACAGCCACGTCGAGCACCAAGGAAAGGATGAAAGATAGAACATTACCACGGGGTGAAAGCTATGTAAGTTCAAGAACCGATGGTGCACAGAAACTACCTTTAGGAAAGAGTCTTAAACAGCAGGTTTCCTTTAAGAGTAATAAAAAATTGATAGGCGACATAGATGAAAGTGGTACCTTCAACTGCGGAAAAACGCTTTCTTCCGGTTCTTTTGACAAATCGAGCACTTTGGAGGTCTCGGGTTTAGACTCAGCGAGGTCAAACATTTCAAGAAATTCAACGGAAAGGACCCGCTATGAAATAAAAAAGGTTGATGAGGCTAAAGACAGTAAGAGTGGCGGAGCGAGATTTCAGCTCTTAAAAGAGCGCAGCGGTGTTCGTGTGTTATTGGATGAGCCACAAAGGGACACAGCAAGTTACTTGACACTAAAACTCGGCGATAGGAGTTCATTTAATCCTATAACACCGTCAGGCGAAGGAGTTAAGACACTATCAGTCTCTTCCCTTGAAAGCAATGCTGTGCGTTCTCTAAGAAAGTTACAAAAGGTTCGATCCAACTCTCTAGGACAAGAACCTTCCGAAGGTCTCACAATGAAGTGCAATACACTGATGACGAAAGGTGTTGGTGGGAAGATTCTGCTGCGGGAAAACCGAAGATAGTAAATTGCAATCAATATGCAATTAGTCCAAGTGCATTAAACAAACATCGCCGAAAATCATTTACTTCTGAACTTAATGAAAAATTACGACTCAGGAGGAAAAGGATGGAGAACAAAAAAACCTTACAAATGCAGCTAAAAATGTCTTCAAAATCACCGAGTCATTATCTGGTGAAGCCAGTTTTTATATCTCTGGAAAGTTGAACGACACTACGACCGAAATACCTTCGGTTTTTTTTTACATTTCAACGACAAGCATAGTTTGAAAGAATATCCAAAGCAAGAAAACAAGGTATATCTGCTTTGCAAACTGCAGCAAAGAAAGTTCACATACCAGCAGAAGAGAGCGTGGAAAAAGTTTGTAGAGCGGGATGCTAGGTAATTTGCCCCACATATCTTGCTTTTTTTTTTCTCGGTTTCAGTTTTGTGTTTTAGACACACCAGATTTTACTGACGATAAGAGTCGACGTGTTTTAAATAAAAGTGAATGAATATTAAATAGTCTAGAAAAGGTTTGTTTAAACCTCCATCCATGTGTAACATCATCTACGACTTAGCATTGCACCCGAGAAGGAAAACAATACTGCATCATTTAGGGCTCCTTTCGCCAAGAAAAGCAGTCTCAAGAGCAAAATACGTCACAGTTTGCAATAAATCTTAAAGGTTGTAATGAGCTCCACGTTTCTTCGTCTCAAAACATCGTTGTTCGATTTCGACGCGTTTTAATGTTATCCTAGCGATTTCAATGAACGGCCAAACTTTTTAAATTGAAGTCAAATCAATATTATTTTAATACAAAGTCTCGGTTTTATGAACATTTAGAGGACTAAACCTCACGTATTTGGGCATAATTAAACGGACGCGGAATAGCTCCAACCAAACGTACCCTAATTTTAGATCAAACATTGCGGCAAATCGTTCGGAGATGAACCTTTCGTAAGGCTCTTTTCTTAGGGATGATTTCGAAGGGTCTGACAGTTGAGTTTGAAAAAGGAGAGGCATGAGAATTTTAACAGGGAATTCTCTACAAGCATTGGATAGTTCTTATATAAAAAAAAGAACATTTGTAAATTTTCAAAACATGTTTCGTTATTTCTTAGATCATCGTCAGTTGCATATGGTCCTAATTCAATTCGAATTTACAACTTGCGAATACGTTACCTTTAATATGAAGATTTAGCCAAGCCTAAAAGCCTAAAAGATGTCAAATTCAAATTCAGATCTATGTAAATGCCTGAATGACTACTATTGCCATTTGAATGAGGACATTCGTCATTTTAAAGTAAACTAGCATTTCCATTTTCTTTTCTTTTTTTGAATTGCTCTCAATTTTTCTCCTTTTGTATCTTTATCAATGCTATATCCTTAGTATTTATATTTCACATAATATTACTCTCAGTGCACATTCATATACATATATAAAGGGTATTTTTAGTAGATACATAGGATATATTTGATGTAGGAGGACCACAAGTTTACCAGTATTGTAACTGTTTCGTGCTACCCTCGATAAATAAAGTTAGATTGGATTGGGTTGGGATCGCCTCCGGCGTCCAAAAACACGATTTTGGAGAGAGATTATCGATTTTTCGCCGCTGTTTCATCAGAAATGGATTTGGGTTATGCTGTTACAAGGGAAGCGTAAGTTTTTGTATAAACAACCTTGAAATGTGCAGTAAATCTACCTATTAACCTGTCTCCATGCGCAAGGTTAATTATGAATTTGACATCGCGTAATGGTCTCGAAATTAAGGAAAACCAACTATAAATCGCTAAGAAATAACTCAACTAAGCCTTTTCACTTTTTTGGACGTGTGTTATTACTGGTAACTCATTCATTGCCTGTCATTGCCTGTGGGGGGCCACAATGCCTTAGCCGATTGCCCTAGCCGCTGGGATATGGACCAGTCATTCCCAGCAGGTTTCATGAACTCGCCACACATCGCAAACTTTCTTTTCGCAAGTTCGATTGTTGAGAACCCAGCCCCGTTCACTAGGGTGTACTAGGCTACACTTAAGAAATAATCAGTAGAGTCGTTTGTCCAACTATGTAATCACCTGGCTCACCTTTGCAGTATTCACTCACTACAACAAATGTGCCAGTATGGCGTTCCAACACTGCCAAAATTAAATTAATCAATTTTTATTCAAACACACTTGTACGTTGCAATATCAACAGTAAACTTTCAATTTGTGATTCTGGCCTGTTCAGCATAGTCCTGATGCAAACTGTCATGATTAACGAAAAGCCAATTAGAAAGGATGGTGATAGTAGGTGTCGGTTGAGCCCGTAGGATCATATCAATATGCACTTGAGCATTAAAATCCTGGGGAGTGAGGCTTTTAAATGTAGTTCCCACAGACATCGATTCTCAAACTTCCACAATTCTTCGATAAAGAAACACACTTTCCAAAACCAACGCGTGGGACCGATCTCCGGCCGGCATTCCTTTAAAGCAAAGCCTTTACTGCCTCTCACCGACAGATTTCCCTCAAATTGCTACGGTTTGTGGCGTAAACACAACAGTCGACTGGAAAAAGAAAAACAATTGGCCAATCGAAATTTATCGTCTAGGTCAAATTGATGAGTTGGGGAGAGGCGGGGGGTTGGTATAGACATCACAATTAAACACCAGTGGGTCTAGTGAGATTCATACAATACAACACAGTACTGAAACATGGTCGCCTACCGAGTAAACCCAATTATCGATCCCGGCTTATCGCTCTCGGATAAGATTTTTTCTTTTCTTCTTCTTTTGAGACCATGCAATAAGTTCCCTTTCTCGTCGTGAGTAAATCTTCGTGCTGTTGCCGAACAGTCCAGTTCGCACATTTGTGACCAAAGAAAAAATCTATCGCACTTATGGGTTCGCCTCTTTAAAAGTCAAGCAAAAAAAAAAGAAACCCATAGGAAAAAAAAATCAAAGATTGGATCGTTCAGTGCGGCCATTTTGTTGCTCCGTATTTTTACTATCTTCTTCATTGTATCACTGTGGCACATTTTGCGTGTTTTCGTGACCTAATTTAGTAAACCCACAGTTACATCATAGCAATTTAGCAACATCAACTACTACTACTACACAGTAAGCAACTAATAATTTGAGCAAGTTAAAAAGGGTTTAATGTGTATCACGTTTCGTATACTAATATAACATATATATATCATGTAAGGTACCATATATTAGTGAAATAAAAACCTGACACTTTTGCTTTCGAATACTACGAGGAAGAGTCTTATTTACATGAGTCTGTCATTGAAATCCTGCACAAAGGATAAATTCTAAACAGATAACAAGGAATTTTTCAAATGAGGCAGTGGGAATTTGGTGAAGATTTTTGTATATTCAAAGCTGATAATATTTCTTAGCTACTCGAACATATCATCAATATCGTGATAAAAAGCCAGATAACACTGAGTGAAAAATATTGATTAAATCTAACTAAAATTTAAATTCGTGAGGGGCGAAACTTTTACATCTGTAACATGCTGTCACTCCAAAGTTATTTCAAGTTTATATCTGGCAATAATGTTAAGCATTGTAATTAACTCTTTGATTCAAATTAATGATCAGTACGCAAGTTGACAATTCTCATTAAGTTAAACTATGACCTTTGATGTCATCCCAATCAAAGTTAAAAGTACCAAGTAGTATTGGGAGGAGAAAAAAAATTAACATCAACAAATACAGTAACAAGAACATAAATAAAATATCTCCCTAAGAGAAAGTATTTTATAGAGCGCTGAACTAAAAGGATACAAGTCGAGATCCAATTGCTGCTTCAATACACCTGACAAGATTAGTTCAGCATTGTGTATGTCTGACGAAGAAAAAACCAAAAGGAAAATGAGAAATTTTAAATTTACACCGTAGGAGGTGCGACGGTTCGTGCTGGAGTGGCGTGTAGTTTAACAAGAACTTTGGTTGCCTTTTGTTTAACCCTTTTCGCCCATACATCAGTATGCATATTCTTAAGACTGTTCTTCTTACATTTCTTAAGGTGCTGACAAGGAGAATTTGTGTCACAATCAAGAACTACTTTAGTTGGTGATCAGTCTTTTATTCTCGTGACCTTAATCTATGATTTAGGGGTGACATTGTAAGGAGAAATTAGAAACCTGTCAGTCTTGGGGTCAGAGGGTTAATACGAACTTTCGATTAAATTACTCTTAAACATTTAAGGTTTATTCTAAGACCTGTATTACTTTAACTTTTATCGTTATGAATTCTGCTTACAAAACTCAGAAGACACAACTCGACCCAAAACAAATGCAAAACTACCCATGAGCTGAATGAATGCTTCGGCAGCTTAGCAATTTTCCCACCCAACTCGGCCGAGAGTTTAGCCCTTGGGAGGGCTTGGATCAGGGCGTGAAATTGCGCCTAATACAGGCGCCAATGCGACTAAATTTTTCACTTTGGCAACCAAATCCTGAAAATTAGTCGCCAAATTAGCGACTAGAATGTTTCATCATAACCTTACTTAGAGATATAGTGAACTAAAAAGATTTGCAAAAGATAAATCCGCGGCAAACTTCCTCAAGTTTGTTTCTAAAACGTAGCATATGCATTTCAATCAAGGACTAGACGCCATCTTGGATTTAGGATGTAGGTGGGCTTGAAGGCTGTATATCTTCCATCCTAGTGTCCACTCTGTAGCAGGTTAAAGATCTTTTTCCTAACTTAATTCTGGAGGGCCTATCTAGAGCCCTGACAGCGTAAAAAAAGGTTTTGTTTGTCTTTGAAAATGGCAACCCACTTTTTTTTAATTGGCTACCACTTTGAAGAATTTAGGAGCTAAGAGGCTATCAGAGAAAAAAGTTAGTTTACGCCCCGGTTTGGATACAAAGGTAAAATGTGCCAAAGTTAGGGCATGAATTGGGATGACCTACATGTGTAGCGGCAAACGGTTTGAATAAATATACTTCCAAATTAAAATTAAGTTTGGGTAGTGAAAATTTTAGCGTCTGAATCAGGCCTCACGTACATTTGGACATGTAGCTGCATGTTCACTGAAGTAATTCACAGAAAGTTCTTACCAAATCCTTTCTTGAGAAATTCTGAACACAGCAGGCCATCTTTGTCGCAACTAATAACCAGTAACACGGGTGATCCCTGAGCACAAATAAAAGAAGATTCATCAATCAATTTGAACGATTTTAATATACAATGTTTGTATACTCTGTTAAACAAAAAGCATAGTTATGTTCGCCCTCTTATTTATTAAACAGGATTCGCGACATAAAATTTCAAAGGCCACAAATTGATGTCTTATAGGTGAACTGTCTTCTACAGAAAGATTTGAGTAATGGCTGAATTCAAATTCTTTTTTCTTATGGCAATTTTCAAAACATACCTGATCAATAGCCTTGCGTTTAAGCTCTGCTAGGTGCTGTTGAGATGGGACACTCGTCAACACCTATAAGACAAGAGAGCTCTTAATCCACAAGAGTAGAAACTGTGATTTAAGTTGAACCGAAACAACTTTTTTTTATATATTTTCTGCTTTTCGTACAAATTTTTATCATGACTAATTGTTGTTATTCCCAAATATTTCATGATGTTTCCATTCACTTGCAGTCGCACAACACTTTGACCAAACCATCATAGCGTGTGATCTAAACCGGAATATAAAATTCCGTCCAAATTGTTTCCCTATTTTTCATTTCGGGC